GACTAGTTAGAAGAAAAGCTATATCTTAAGAATAGCTATCTACTTATATAGATCTACTATAACTTAATATATAATTTATAGTTTCAGTATATTATATACTATATTAAGATAATTAGGATAGAGATAGCTCTTAAAAGTTAATTAAGCTTATATTTTTATTTTTAGTTATCTAGTTTAGGTTTAGATTAGGGTATTAGATTAGATTAGATTAGACTTAGTATTATTAGTATTAGTATATTAGAGTTTATTTTAGTTTAACCTAGAATTATATATATTTAGAAATAAAAAAGTTAGTTACTTTTAAGATTATAAGTTAATTTATCTCTATAAGTATAGTATATATTTACTACTATAGGAAATTTTTATTAGGAATAATATAGATTTAATATTAATCTAATATCTATTTATATATACTTAGTTATACTATATAATAGTATTTTTTATTATTATAATTATTTTTTTAATCTTAATTAGAGAAATAATTATTCTTAGTTTTATTATTAATTTTAAATTCTCTCTAGAAAAAATAAATAATATTTATATTTAAACTAATAAGATCTATTATTTTATAATACTATTATAATCTAATTACTTTTAGAAAATTTAATATATTTTATTTTCTAAGTTTTATTTTATTTAATTAATTAGTTTTTATATTATTAATAAATAGTTCTATATATATTATTTTTAATTTTAAATTAAGAATATTATATACTTTTAATAATTACTAGAGTATATTTATCTCTCTATATATAGCTATCTAGTAGAATACTTTAGCTATATAATTATATAATAATTAATTTTTATATAGATTTTCTTTAAAGAATATTATTAATATAAGCTTTTTTAATATTATAATAAGCTATAAACTAAATTATTTTTTTAATACTATTTTCTATTATTTAGAAAATAATCTAATTAATAGTTTTTTAATTATATCTAGTTTTTATTATTATTAAATTAAAGCTTTTTCTCTAAATAATTATTATAGATTTATTTTAATATATTTAGCTTTTTTATAGCTATTTAAAACTACTATATCTTATACTATATTTAGCTATAGAATTATATTAATAAATCTAATTTAAATTTAATTATTTTTAGTTTTATATTAATTAAATAATTATTATTTAGTTATATTTTTATATATTAAATATATTCTAAATAAAGTTATTTTATTCTATAAATATAATATTCTTTAACTAAATTAAGTTTATATTTATTTCTAATATTATTAAAATAGCTATTTCTATATCTAAATTAATAGTTTAAAAAATAAAAATTCTAATTTCTTTTTTTTAATTATTTTAAATTTATTTAGTTTTAATCTTTTTATAGCTAGTTTTATTATTCTTAGATTAAATTAAATTTTTTTATAATATAAATATTAGTTTTTTTAATTAAATTAGATTATTTCTAAAGATAGATACTATTAATATAGTTTAATTATTATTTAATATAATTAATTAAATAAATATCTATTTAAATAGAATAATAATTATTAATTTTATTTTTATAAAAATATTTAAATTCCTTTAAAAACTCTTAGTTATTTTATTTATTAAAATAATATAATTATTTCTAACTTTCTTTATAATTATTTCTAAATTAATTATTCTTAAAATAAACTTTAGTTCTAGAAAAAATAATTTCTTATTTTTTTCTAATAATAATTCTTTAGATATTATTAAAACAGAATATTAGATTAGAATATTTTTTCTTTATATTATTTCTATTAAATTTAAACTTTTATTAAAACTAATTATAAAATTTAGAAAAAAAGATTTTTATTTCTATATTTAGCTATTATTTAATAATAATTTAAAACTATTTAATTTTTCTTTTTCTAATATATATATTTAGAAATATCTAAAAATAGATTTAATTAATAGAGATTATTTTTATAATTATATAAAATATTTTAAATCTAGCTATATTTTAATTAGAGTTCTTTATTTTTATATAGTTAAAAAGATAATAGAAATATTTTTAAAATCTTTATTTATATCTATATCTATTTATTCTCTTAAGATTTTATTTTCTATTAATTTAATTTTTAAATCTTCTAAATATAGTAAAATTAGTTTATTTATTAATATAATTTCTAATCTTTAAACTTTTAAAATAATATACTTTATAAAGTTCTAGATAGTTTTAATTATATATTAATTAATTAAATTCTAATAGATTAGAGCTTTAATATTTTACTCTTTTAATAACTAAAAAAATAAATATTTAGAATTAATTTATTTAATAAATATCTTAACTAATTAAACTATAGCTATTATTTATAATAATCTATTTTATAATATAAAGTTTAGATTATTTTTAAGAAAGTTAGTAATTTAATATATATATTTAATATTAAATATATTAAAATAATTATTTTTTAAACTAACTCTAATTAGTATCTAGCTAGGATTTTTCTATTATTATTCTTTTTTAAACTATTAAATTAAGTATTTAAGATTTTATAGTATTTAAGATTTTATAATAATAGAGAATTACTACTATCTATTATACTTAGAACTAGCTATAACTAGCTTAGGTATTATAAATAGATTCTTAATTATTAGCTATAGAGTAGCTATAATTAGATAGCTTATAGTTAAAATCTAGGTTTATAATATCTTTATTTATATATAAAATAATATAATTTTTAAAGTTTATCTTATTTCTATCTACTAGTTATTTATAGCTCTTTTATAGAAAGCTCTATATAGCCTCTATTTATAGTATAATAATACTCTTTTTCTACTATTTTTAATTTAAATTCTAATTTATTATACTAATTAGTAATATATTTTAACTATTATAGTATAAGATTCTAAGTATTATAATATAATTAATTATTTTTAATATAGTAGAAATAATAAAATAAAGAATTTTCTAATCTAAAGTATTTATAACTATAGAATTTATAGTAATTATATTCTAACTATATTATTAAAGAATTAAATAATATAATATTAATTAGAATATTATATTAGAAGATTTTCTTATAAGAAAGTTTCTATATATAGTTATATATTATTATAAACTATAAAAGAAATATAGAATTAAATTAGAAAATACTTATTAATAAACTATAGAATATAATCTTAAAAATATAATTAATAAAAAGAGAACTTTATATTATAAATTATATTATTATATATTAAGTTATATAGTATATTCTACTTTTTTCTAATTAATTATTAATAGATTATTAAAATCTTATAATAATTCTAATAATCTAGAATAATAGATTATTACTAAATCTTAATAATTTCCTAGTATAGATATATATTTATTTTACTAAATAGAATATTTTTTTAAATAGTTATTAATATAACTATCTATATATTTATTACTACTAGCTCTATAATACTTATATATTAATAGTAACTTATATTATATAGTTTATAATAATCTGATTATATTACTTAGAATAACTCTCTAATTAGTTTAATTCTAATCTATTCTAGATTCTATCTAGTATAAGTTATTTAACTATTATATAGTAAAAGTAGCTACTAGTATTTTTATTTAATAACTTTATAAACTATATTACTAATAGCTTTAAAGTAGTTCTTAAACTTAATACTAAATCTAATATTTAATTATTATTAAAAGTTTTTAAATTTACTAAGCTTAATATATAATATATTTAATCTATTTCTCTATATAGTTATATAGAAAATTCTCTAATATTTTCTTATCTATAATTAGAACTACTAATACTTTATTATTAAATATTACTAGATAAACTAAATTATTAAAAAGTTATTTCTCTACTAGAAAGAAAGAGTAAATAATAATTAGTATTTAGCTCTATTTATTAAAAAAAATAATTTACTATTTAAAATACTTTAAAATAAGCTTATTATAGATATAGATACTACTAGTAATAGTTTTAGATAGATTACTTTTAATTATAAGATATATATAAATAAGATTATAGCAGGTCTTAAGATATTTATCTAGGGTTATTAATTAGATCTATTCCCTCTCCTAATCTTATTTAGTTTCTACTTAATTAGCTTACTCCTCCTCCTGATCCTGTTTAATAACTACTTAGTCCCTTTCAGTTTCTACTTAATTAGCTTACTCCTTCTCTTAGTTAGCCTGCTCTGCCTCTTATATAGCTCTCTTCTCTGCCTTTTATAGATACTGCAGTAGCTTTTCTATATCTATAGGAGTATTTATAGTATTATCTAAGAGTATAAAAATCAAATACTAATTAGTACTAAAGAAATAAAATTAGTTTATTATTCTTAGAAGCTAAACTTTAAGAATTAAGAAGTAGTAAAGTACTTACTAATAGTAGTAGATTATATTACCTGAGTTAATATAATATAACTCTACTATAAGAGTTACTTTTACAAAGGGGGAACTAGGCGAATAGCCTAAGCAACCGAAGAGGCTACAGCATACTCAAAAAAGGTATAGCGCGCTCCGGGTATAACTTAGTCAGTAGGCAGTAAGCAGTTCAATATGATAAGCCAGGGCCTGTTTTTATCCAAGCCTTATCAATTCTGCCCTAACTTACCATTTATCAATCTTAACATCGGTAGCCGAAGCCCAGATCCAATTTATCCACTCTATGGTGCCACTACATCGCATTAGTCCGAAGGATAGAATTCCAAGGCAGTTTTCAATCCCTCTTAGCGCGCTCCCACATGCAGACCGGGACCTCAAGCATTCTCGGTCCGACTACTAATCCGGCTAATTGTGGGAGACTAATCTCATCTGCTCTGTGCTCTGGTACCACCGATTGGCGAAAACACCTCCGCGCCACCTCACTGGACGGTTACGAGCGACCCCTCACGAACGAGATTACGAGCGACCCCTCACGAACGAGATCACGGGGGCCAATCAGTGGCAGCCGCCCCCACTGTTGCCTATTTTCGTCCACGCCCCATCAACCATATCGCCCGAACAAAATTCCAAACATAATCGGCCTGTTTTGTCGACCAGCTCGTCAGGAAAGGAAGTCTCCCTTTCTTTCGTTCTTCACCATGGACAAGAAACAAACCTCCCCAGAGCTCTCGCAGGCTGAGCTTCTGCCAACCCAAGAAGAGCAAGTTCCAGCAAATCCGCCGTCACGAAAACGGCAGCTAGATAGCGACGACGACGCCGAACCACGGGCAAAGCGAGCGCGGACAACACGTCCGACCTCGGAGCCAGCACCATTGACGCGGCAGAACTTGGCCCTCTTCAACAAGATGGGCAAGAAGAAGTCCTCAGACCCCTCGGACGACTCGGGGTCGACGAAGACTCTCTCGACAACGGCGTCCGGATTCGACATCCAAGCCTACAAGAATGGCATCCTCGAGCCCTCTAGATCTAGGCCTCCTAATAACCTCAAGGTCATCCACAACGACTCGCTAGGACCCGTGAGACCGCATCGCCTCCCGAGTCGGTATACGAGGAATACGTCGAGGTAGTTGGAGGAGCCCCCAACGAAGCAACGATGGTCTACCAGGTCGGGGGAAAGCTACTCAAGGAGTACCCTGGTAAGGGCTACAAGAAGGTGCTCAACCAGGCATTCACGGGCTATCCCAAGGACGTTGGGCTCAACAATGGCCTATCCCCCCCCCCCCCAGCCCGACTTCATCGAGGGCATTGAGATGCGGGACTACCACCCGTCCCCGGAGCCGTCCTTGTAGAGGACGGCCGCCGTTCCGTGACGCTACCACACATCGCCGGAGAATGGAAGGGCCCCGGAGGAGACATGAGAGAAGCGACGCTACAGAGTGGCTATGACGGAGCAGCACTCGTCTACGCAAGAAACCAAGCCCTCGCCTTCCAGGGAGAGTCTGACCCCCCTGAACACGCAAGCATCATGACCTTCACCACAAATGGTACCCAGGTCCATTTCTACGCGCACTACGCAACCCCGACCGAAGACGGCACGCTTGAATATCACCAGTTTCCTGTTAAGTCGACGAGTTTGGTCAACTCTCACGGAGAACACAAGGAAGGCCGAAGAGGACTCAGGAACGCCCAGGACCACGCCCGAGAACAGTCGTACGCTCTGAAAGACCAGTTAAAGGAGCACTACAAACAGCAGCGCAGCAGCAGCCTCCATCCTGTCGCTACAAGAGTGCCGCCCTTGCCTGTACCCGACGTCGAGCCTCTGGTTACAACCCAAACCTACCAGGACGAGGACGACTACGAAGTCGTCGGACCACAGCCTGTCTACCAGCCGACACCCCCTGCATCGTCCAAGCCCAAGCACAGCAAATCGCACCACTCGCATTCGACGCCGCACTCGTCGAAGGGCCCCCTCATCCACACACAGTTCCACCCACAGCAGCGGTGGCAAGCGAAAAGCTTCGTCCTCACAGTCGTCCCACGGGTCTTCCGGACATGTCAGCAAGCACAGAAGCTACTGGAAGAAGGACGCCATGAGCGGACGTTACTACCACAAGCATTCGGATGGTACCGTCTCTTGGCTTGGCGACGACGAGGACGACGGACGCGACCAAGTACGGTCGTTTGGACATCGACCATGAAGGAGGGGAAACCTATTACAACCTGCCAAGCCATATTAGCTTACTAGTAGGGAAGCGGTTGCCCTATAGATTACCCTGAAAACAAGATCCCGCAAGTCCCATCCTCTGCGAACAGACCAGCAGTATCTTGGTTTCCCCATCAACTTGCTTCTGTACCCGTCTTACCACACGCATTATTCAGGGAAAGTTATGAATAAATAGTCATACCAACGGTCGGTTCTAACGCAGAATATGCATATTGCCAAGTCTATGAATTCATCTCCTGAAGCTGGAGGGGCGCTTCCAACTCAGCAAGACACTCCAGGGACTGGCGAGGCAGCAAGCCCGCACCCTTCACAAAGCTGCCCATCCCGGCTCCACCGGGACAACCAAAAGCATGTGCTTCTCTGGCAGCCATTCCTGACATTGGAATACCGGCGGCCTCAGCTTCCCACCCCGTAACTAAATGGTGCCTTTCCCCGGTGGCCAACTCTACCTTGGGGGTGCCATTAGCATCTGGCTGACCACAAGAAAATCCATCCACCTCAACATCTGTGCCCACCATCTCAACAGCCGATGGCCGCCGACGACGGTGCCAGAGCCAGAGCCCTGCGAGGACGAGCACGACGACTGCAGCACCCCCGAACACTCCGCCCGCAATGGCCGCAACTGGTGGGCTACGAGAGCTGCCCATGTCTAGCAAAGGCGTCAAGTTGCTAGACTTGAAGCTCCCATCATCTGTTGCAAAATTAGCAGTTTGTATTGTATGTTGCCGAGATGCACATAACTCTGAGAAACAGATTTTTGACCGTATCGTTGAACCACCCTATACGGTCCGTACCTCTGGTTCCAAGTTAGATTCTTCCAAGGATGAGCAGCGTGGGAAATACTCACCTGTTGTCATAAAAGGCCTTCACAAGGCTCGGCGAATCGTAATCCTCAGCATTCGCTTCGTAACGATCCTTCCATTCCAAGGTAGACAGATCGAAAACCCCAATACCTGCGTACCATTCATCAACCGGTTTAAAGCCTCCCTTCGGTCCAAGACCGCCTACCGATATCATTTGTCTCTTCCCAGCTAGAGCGCACGCATGCCCATAGCGCGGAGGCCCGGTCCTGTTCGTTTGCACCCAATGGAAGCCCGGAATAGTGAGAACCCAAATGTCATTCTGGGCGTCGTCTCCAATGGCGCCCCCGTACATGAAGCTTGCTCATCATTAGCCCGGAGAAACGATGCCGCTCGTGTTCGCACTTACATCTCATATGTTCCATTCTTCCCATGAGCACCAATGGCACAAGAAAACTTTCTCGGTAGCGGCGGGCCACCCGTTGTCCTCTGTTCATGCCACTGTCTCTTGACTGGGTCGAGAATCGTGACATGCTGAAAACTCCTGAGGTTGGAGATTCGATTGTTACTTGTCACTGCCTCTCCGCCGAGGAGAAAAACTAAAGGATTTCCCCCAAACCTCGTCGTACACACGGGGGGCGTTCCCACCTTGTGTAGTCCCTCTGGTTGAAAAGCTTCACGGCTCGAAGAGTTTGTCCACTCTCGAGAGTCCATGTTGTATATCAACGTGCCGGGGATTGCCCGCGTCTTCCTGTTGTATTCCGTCGCCGTGTCAGTGATGCCTCCGATGTAAAGGCCGAGCCCGTCGCACGATACCGAAGCGGCGTCTCGCGTCCGGATGATTGCGTTGAAACCTTCGGGGTTCCCAGGCGTGGTCGCGGTCCAACCGCCATTCCCATCGCTGCTTGTTTCCAGCTTCCAAAGTGTTTTCGTTTCGTCTTTCTCCACGAGTTGGCCGAGTTGGCGCCTCCCAGCCCAGCGATAGATGGCACCGCCGTCTCGTTCGTCAGCCCAGAGACCAGAATGGTCGACCGTTGGCATTCCGATTGCATGTTGTATCTCTTTCAGTTCCAACGTTCTGTTCGTCCAGTCGACATCCAGCGGGATGTAGAGAGTGGTGTTTACTATTCATTGACGGTTAGAACCTGAAACGAGGCAGAATGGCTTTTTCCGTTGGGCCACTCACCAGGATCATATTCCCTCTCTGATGTCGCTTCTCTGTTAAGATACGTGGAGATCTTGCCACCCTCGATGTAGAGATGGTTCCTCAGTACCGCCACTAGACGCCCGTTGTTAGCTCGGCTCTGATTACCTTGAAGAGAACAGTGCTATACCTGAATGATACGTGCGGCGTTTGAACTTATCAGGTACAAGCATATTGGCATCTTCGACCTTGGCGGCTACCTGCCCAGGCAGCGCCCAGACGAAGAGATAGACGAATTTGAGAGGGCCTTCCATGGCGCAGAGCTTTCATCAACACAACTAAACTTCTGTAGTTGCAGCTTTCCTGACAGAAGCAAAAATACTGATTTGAGTTTTGTTTTTTCCTTGCCGCAAGCGAGGGCCCAAGAACACCCTGCATTGTATCACACATGGTTTCAAGCCAAATTGTGGTCATGCCCGCACGTAGCACACACAAGAAAAGAAAAATATAAAGTGGGAGATACTCATGAAAGAGCAGCAAAAGCAAAAAGAGGCGGAACGGGAACAAGATGAAGGTGACCCTAACTCAAGCGAGACATGACACCCAGCGCCTGACGGTTTCCTATTTCCGACCAGACAAGGAGGTATGAGGCTTCAACGCCGATGGGACCAAGATCCAGGTCCCATGATCTGGAAGCGCTCTCTTTAGCTTGACAAATGGATGATATTGTGTTCGAGCCTACGACCGAGATCATCAGATCACCAAGTACTAATGATACACATATTCAAGAGATCACTCAGCGTATATTGATACTTTGTTTCCCATTTGATCCCACTAAAGTCCTTGATGCATCGTAGAAACTAGTCTGTTGATAGACACTCTTCAATTGGATTTCCTATTTCTCCAATCACTCACTTGTATAGGAGCTTGTAGGTACGGGAGGGTTGAAAATAGCCAGCCGGTGAGCAAGTGCTCCAATGTGGTCTTCAGTGTGAATCATTCCGCGAGAATACATAGCATAACTCTGGGAAGCCGCTCTCGAATCTCAATGGGGGGTCTTAGCGCTCGTATCGCACGTCCTGGTCCTTCCCTAGGCTCGCAGAGATTTAGCGAGAGGGCAGCTGAGGTAGGAACGGCGGCTCCTTCCCGACTTCCAAATGACCGACACCAGCATACCTTCCCGATATGATGTGTCGTCAGGCTATTGTGCCTGGCCCAAGGTCCCCAGGCGAAACCCGACAAGAACTTAGCAATCCCATCCTTGGAATCATCCATTCATCACCCGTGCGGTCCATGGTGAACTCCAACGCCTCTCTTGCTTTCGATCAAAAACCCGCGCTGGGGTGGTCGAGCCGTATAACTCGAGACCAGATATCGCACCAAGTCACCACCTACCAGTACAACAAGCTGGCCAACTATCACGTACTTGTCTTCAATCATCGCAATATCAAATCTGCAAGTATCATTCTTTCCAAAATCAAATATTACCTCATAACTAAGATATCATCAAGCAGGGTCGTTCATTCTTATCCTCGTCCCTCCGAAACGAAGTCCACACCTTGACCAGTTCATCCTACAGACGAACCAGTTGTTCCATCTCCAACTCCAAATGGTCGGTTTCCTCAAGCCTGATCCCTTTTACCCAGTACATTTCTTGATACCGTCATTATTGGTGACGGAGCTATGACAATTTGGTCCCCATGGAGTATCCCTGACTAACAAACTAAGCCCGGCTACCGTCGCAAACTTTCGTCAATAGTTAAACCAGTGTGCTCCTCCAATACATCTTGAACAATTCGCCAGCAGTTCATTGTTCACACAGGTGCCATCAAAAGACTGGCACTAGGCCAATGTCTTCGTTCGGCCTCCTTTGTCTTTGTCTCCCCCCTCCCCCTCCTTTTTTTTCTATTTTGTTTTCTCCGATTTTTTTTTGTTCCTTTTTTGCTTTCAATTTTTTTTCACCATGTTTTGAATCGATCAATTACCCTTCTCTCCAAGAGTTGCCGTTGAATTTGGCATTGAAGTGACGTCTTCATTGGGTTTCCTTCTGCAAGCATGACAAGCGTTGCTTCCAACTTCGAACGCTTCACCACTCTTCAGCGGTTACGTACTCAGAGTCCGAGACACGCTCCTCTTCGGTCTCCTCTTCTTCGCTGGTTTCCAGGTGCTCCTCTATGTCTTCTCCGAGGGTTGACAGCTCGTCCTCGAGATCTTCTCCGAGGTATGACAGCTCGTCCTCGATTTCTTCTCCAAGGGTTGACAGCTCGTCCTCGATTTCTTCTTCGAGACTCGACAGCTCACCCTCCGTCTCCTCCTCGCTCGTGACGGTCTCTCCCTCTGTCTCCTCTTCGTCGGTGGCCATCAATCTCTGCGCCTCATCGCACTTTTGGAAATGCTTCCAGAATCCATCGACCAAATAGGCACGTTCTCGAGCAGCGAGGTTTTCATCCGTTGCGAGATCTTCCCAGACATTCTTGCAACCTCGACACGAACGGCCGCGGAACGCCTTATGCGTTTTGCGGTTGAAGTATGGGAGCATGCACGACGCTAGAAGCGGATTTGGTGCCGGTTCACCGAGCGCCGATTCATCTTCTTCATCTTCTTCAAGTTGAAGATGGGGTGGGATCTCTTGGTCTGCATCCGCGAACTCGAGATCTACTGCCGGTGTTTCCAAGTCCGAGTCTCCGTCTCCATCTAAGGGCTCCGGATCATTAGGTTCGATATACCCTTGGGAGCCTTCCTCGACCGATTCATCGAGGACACTCATCCCGTTGGCCTCGGCAAAGTTGAAGGCGTGAAATTCGGATATGAACTTTGCCCGGGCCTCTTTCGGCTCTTTGGATCCGTTATGGAATCCTGGAGGACAGGTGATGGTGCCAATAGCTTCTTTCTCCGGAACTTGCACTCCACCGGCAGAGAACCAATCATGGATCGTCTGGAGATAATAAAGACGGAATAGTGATCGTGTTTGCACACAAGTGAAGCAAACTCTTTCGGCGGTAGGCAGAAAAATGAGGCCTCCGAATCGACGGCAAGATACACATCGTTGGCGGACCAGCGCGGAATAAACGGCAGTGACCGTGGTGCATTTGGCCAGGTCTGTACGCATGAACGCCCAAACGCATTCCGGGGCGTGTTGACCAACCAGGCGATATTCTTTGCAGCCGTTGAGTAGATCTCGAGCAGCTCGATTCGCGTGACTGAATCGTAACGCCGACTTGAGGTCAAACTTCCGGGCAATATAGAACTTTATCTCGTGGGGGAATCTCTCGAGTATGCCCAGATCCGTGTCCAGTGGCTGCTCGCCGAGGACCCTGAAGAGCGAGGACCGAACGCGGTTATGCTTGCGTGGGCGGGTGTAGACCGCCTCCTTATCCATTTCGGTAGTCGGACACGTCAGTTTCATGAAATCAGAAAACAATTCTGTTTCTGAGTGTGGTGCGTCCATTGTGCTTCCAGCGTTGAGTACAGATGCTAACACAAGGTCGGAATGCGAGTGATGTGATTGTACGCGAGAGAGACAGGCGATGCCACAAGTTCAGGATGGGGAGGACAGTAGGTGAAAGAGGGGGATGTTTGATGCAGGATTGCACATTTTGCTGGTGTTACGTCAGGTAGAATCTACCTGTTACACACAGCGAGAGGGGCAGCTGCATTGATTTCCTGATTGACCTCGCACAAGCTGTCTCACGTCTCAGCTCGTATCGGCCAATGGCGATTATTGAATTAATCAAGTCGGTTTTATTTTCCAGCCACTGCTCCCCCCCTAGGCCGCACTCCAGCTTTCCGATGACCTATAGTCGGCCTTGCTATTCACGCTACGACCCCTCTGAAGCCCGCCGATCTGCCCTCCCTGACGGGTGTTCTATCGTTTACCTTCGGTATGCCGCTTTCTTCCTCGCCGAAGAGCCAGCGGGGCTGCAATTCATCCAGCCAGCATAACAGCCGAAACCACATACTCGATTGCGACAAGCTAGTTCCCCTCAATGCTTCGCTAGTCCTATCGAAACGGATGATTATCAACAACATATATACGGTGCGGTGCTGGCGAGTGATATTTACATCGTCTTGTCACCGTTACGCAGACAAGTCTGGTATCGTGATTCTGGGAACAGGGGGTCCGACGAGACTGGAGGCTTGTAAAGCAGATACAATCCCTACTACAACGGACGAATAGCAGCTCTGTCAAAAGGGCGCAGAGGAGTTGCCAGTAAGAATGGATGAAGATGCGGCCCAAGTAAGGAGCTGAGTCTTTCGATCAACCGAAAGCCACAGCATAGATGGGGTATAACTTCTGCATACGTGAACTGCAATCACTTCAGACCATGTCTTTCAGGATCCTGCCTTTGCTGACCTTGGGTTCAATGAGCAATGCTACGGCTACCTGAGTTGAAGCGACTTACTAGACCACACATATCGCAGGCAATAAAAGAGTGACAATACCAAAGCGTGGAACAGGAGACCGTCGACATCGCCGGGATAAATCTAGCTCTCGCTCGTGGCGGTCGGGGCCGTATGGTGGTCGAACTCTCGGTTACTACCTACCTACCTACCCAAGTAAGTAAGGCAAGGTACATGTAAGTAGGGATCAAACAACTCTGACAAAGCGTTCTCTGTTGGTTCTGTTAGAAACAGCCCCCAGCCCGGATCCCTTGCATGAGCAAGTAAGCAAGCAAGCGACTGGCATAAAACATGCATACCCAGAACCCCAGCGCCACTTTTGTCACAGTGTCGAAACAGCCAACCTAGTCAAACACAATGTCGAGGTGAGTATCATAGCATAATTTATGACTGAAAACTAGGTCTCTACCTTGCGTGGAAAAGGGCTTCAGTGTGCCAGGCTTTATTTCAGCCACTGGGCAGGCTCGTCTACACCTCCCTGTTCTAGGTTGGGGGAGAGGGCAAGGCAAAAGCGACTACTGAACCAACAACCACCCCTCCCCCCGGGACTAAACGGCAAGGGACCTAGGCCGTTTCTACCACCTTGGGCACTGTGTTAGTACATAAGTGTACGACGTCGCATCCCCTTGATCCTCATCCTCAGTCTTGAGAATTTCATCACGCCCAGACCAAACTCTCCCTGTTTACCATCTTCCCTTTCCAACTCCATTGCATCAAACAGACTAAACGACCCGGTGTGGCTCAGATCAGACCAGGAATCCCCTGAAGACAAAGACGCCGCAAGACCCAAGTCAAACCAGACTGCAAAAGCAACACCCAGCTTGTTGGCCGAAACATCACCGCCGTAGCAATGTGCAGGTTCACAACTGCCGAGCTCCGCCATGTAGACTGCAGAAAGTCAGGCCTTTTTAAGCACAGGACAATCCATCGCTTATTCAAGCGGTGTTACGAACGCCCTGCTCCTGGCCCTCGCTGCGAAGAGCCCGAGAAGGACCTGTCACTCGGCGTTCATGAGCCTACCGAGCACAGAGGCCGCTGCCAGAGGTGCCGAGACTCGGGAATATCGCTCGAGGATGAGGTGGAAGTGGAAGATGTGTGTAGCCCTCATTATGAGCCCTTGTGAGACCTTGGTTGCTAATCCTCCTGTAGCATGACCTGTGGGAGCCAGTGACAACATGGATTTAACATTGCCAACCGCCGCCCTCTACGCTTTGCCTGCATTCTGCCCATTCTACTCCGACTTCATTGGCACTGCCGTCAACTTCAAGTTTTTCATTTGGTGCATTTTTCTTTGGTGTCCAGTACTATGGAACTGGACTTTGGTACACTCAAGTTTCTTTCCGCTGGTAAATCAGCAATTGTCTACGGAATCGACGACGCAAAGGTGCTCAAGCGGTACTACGAGGATGAGGATGAAGACGAGAGCATCCTTACGGAGCGCCTAGCCTTCGATCGGCTCGGAGCCCACGCCAACATCGTCGAACGCCTTGATTCCGGTCCCAGATCTCTTGTCCTTGAACGCGGCCGGCCTCTCAACAAGCTGACCAGAACCTCCATCCCAATGGCAACAAGGCTCAGCTGGGTCAGGGATGCGGCGGAGGGTCTGCAGTATGTCCACCAGCACGGGATCATCCACGCTGACGTTGGGTGCGACAACATGGTTCTTGTTGGAGGGCGTGTCAAGATTATCGACTTTGAGGGTTCCAAGATCGATGAGAGAGAGGCGACATCCTGCTACAAGTGGAACAGTTGCCAGGGGATCATCACAATCGACGAGGAGAGCGACGTCTTCGCATTTGGCTGTGCTGTCTACGAGATCATCACGGGCCTGCCCCCTTGTCATGAACTGGAGGATATGGAGAACCGGGCGCTCCTCTTTGAGCAGCGGTTTGCGGAGGGTCGGTACCCCGAGGTTGCCCACCTGCCCTTGGGCCAACTGGTGCAGGGCTGCTGGGATGGCTCCCTGCGGTCCATGGACGAGGTGCTACAGGCGCTCGACACTGACGACAGCATTGCGGTAACCTGATTTTGACGTTGGACAGTTCGCTCCATGCACTGGGTGATTGGGAGAGGGGTGCCCCCGTGTAATGTTGGCGTCTGCTTCACTTGAACACCTTGTCTGTGGTTGCCAATCGGCACGTTATTTCCCATGTTAGCTATGCGACACTCATTAATCCACCGCTTTTCCTATGTACCTCTACGCTGCCAGAATTGATGCCTTTTGTTGGTGCGATATGGAAAGCGTCTTACACTCGCCCTTGGCAAAGTGTGCGCCAACATCAACCACCTCCAGTCCACGCCGTCGCAGCACCGTGCATCACCGCCCGCACTACCTACACTACCCCTCCATTGAGTAAAGTGCTGTGCGACGTCAGGGCCTTTTCCCCTTGTGAATAGACCCTCCGCCCCCCCTGTTGGCGTGCTTGAGGGACTTGCAAAGGCCAAGCGACCAACATCGGAACTGTGATGGATGGGCGGATTCACGGACGAGTTGGACTTTTTCGCAAGAATCCCGGGTGCTCATTGGCTGGACGTACGCCACTGTGGCGTTGATCATTACCGCATTCGGGCAGCTGCTCGCTTCTCGGGCTTGGCAGTCCTCAACACCCCTGCAAGTCGACGCTGCACATCCTGCCTCTCCAAGCAAGTACCCACAGCATTGCAAGACCCTGGCCACCCGAACTTGCACAGGTTGAGCCAACAGCATTGCAAGTTGCGACGCACACCCTGCCTCTTTTGCCTCTACCTGCCTCTACCCTGCTTGCTGCCTTGCACACCCCCACTAGCAACCCGACCTTTCGCTTGACTCTCGCAGCCAACAATCCTGCAATGCACACCAGGCTAGCAGCCAAGCGCCTCCAGACAGTGGGTGATCTCCAGGCACTCAGGCAATCACAGAGTCAGTAGCGTCTCCCGCAAACTCTGGGCACTCCAGTCTCCCCAGTCTCCATTGTCCAGGGGCCCAAATAGAGCGCCAGCCAGACTGTTCAGAACGGAAGGCGATCCGTCGATCACGTTCGCACATCTCTCTACAAACTCGTAACGCAAGTTCTCATGCGATGCAAACAGATGGCTCAGAGACCATGTAAAAAGAACATAATACCACTTGGAAAGGCGTAGGTACCTCTGCCGTAGCCATGGTAGAAGCTTCGCCCTGCAACCGCAGAGGCCATCATACACGTAGCCCCCGGGGAGCCTTACTGTAATCGGGCAGCCATATCAAACGCAGAAGGCGATGGAAGCTGCACAGATACACGGAGGAAGGAGGCCCTTGAGGAGTTGCCCGCGGGCCAGCAGGATGGTTGAGGGGGGCTCCTTCCATATGTCCAAGGCAGCATACAGACACACGAGAAAAGGCCTTGCTTCCTCATCCATCTGGCCTTCTTCCTCATCCATCCCTCGTGCTTCGCATTCTTCATCAGTCCAACCAGCCTTGCCACACCTCCTCACAGACATTCTCAGAGCCATCAATGCCCTGGGAGGCTTGCACACTTCACCCTCTTCTCCTCTCCTTTGTTCAAGGCCCCTCAGTTTCCGTCTTGTTCTGCCTTCGGCGCTAAACCAGCCAGGTTGCCTGGCGCTGAACATCGTCCAACTCCGTCCGTCCGAAAACTCTCCTGGTGCCATCAGTGTACGTGAGTGCAGGTTTTAGCTCCGCCGCGTCTTTAGGCTAGATCACTAACTTGATGCAAACTCAGTATCGGTAAAGACGCAACCCTTTGTCGCCACACCCGTGGGCATGAGGCCATCGAGATGGCACGGCTCCGGTCCGTCACTCCTTTGAATCATCAGCCTCGCCGCCCAGATTCGCACTTCCACGTATCCTACCATCCAGCATGCCTCGGCCAAGCTCAGGTGCCCTTCTTCCCCAACTTGATCCACCTTACAGAGTTTCCGGCTAGCAGTAGCTGGTGAGGAACGCGGCGCGCTCCGGCCTGGCGACTCGCTTCAATTGCCAAGAGCACAGAACCTGGGCTAGGGCAGACGACTAAGTTCACCGAGAAACATCTTGGGGCGGGTCTGATTCAAGAGGTCTGATTCAAGAGGTCTGATTCAAGAGGTCTGAGTCAAGAAGTCTGATTCAAGAAGTCTATTTGCAAATCGGTTGCGAATGATTCGTGTCAGATGTTGGCTCTAACAACCTGGTTCGGTCTGCCACATCCCTTGTTGGCGGCACCATAGCCGAAGAGGTATTGACTCGTGCGTCAACCAACCTTTCCCCTATCTGAATGAGCTAACAGAGTTGCAGGTCATACAGTATGCTCGGCGCCTTGCACACAGGCCTTCGACGTCATTCCGGACAGCACGACCAGCATCTTAGTGATACGAAGTGCAAACAGAAGAGTCATCATTAGAAGCTATGAAACTACCTTGCACAGAAGAGACATCATTAGAAGCTATGAAACTACCTTGCACAGAATTGCACAGAAGAGACATCATTAGAAGCTATGAAACTGCCTTGCACAGAAGAGGCAATTTAGCGGCGGCAAAAAGAACCGTTATACTTGTCCACTGGCAGGTTCCTGCACCACTGGTGTCTCCAAGCTGGGATCGTCCCTTTCATGAATGAGCTCGCACCGGTTGACAGAGAACCACCAAGCCAACCTTCCACCCCAAGGGATAAACTCCCCGCCCTCCTCGGCTGCATGGTCCCCGACTGTTAGGTCGACAACCTTCTCCCTATCCTCTGAAAGCTTGAATGCTATGCCTCTTGAGTCACCGATTTCAGTTGGCCTTTGCAACCAGTCAAGGCGGACGTGCCCGACACTTCTTTGGCGGCCATCTTGATAGGTGAAGAGCAGCCCGGTGATGTTCGGAGTGCTCTTTTTCTCCCCCGTCGTTTCTTTCCTCGCCTTCTTCTTCTTGCAAATGGATATCGAGGCCACGCCATCCAGAGATGCAGATGTGTAAAAGCACTGCTCGGAAGCCAGTAGCTGCCCAGGTGCCGATTCGGGCTGAGGTACTTCGAGCTGAGGTTCTTCACGCGCAGGGCACAAATCTGGCAGAGGATGCTGGAAACCAAGCGCCGAGATACCGAAAAAAGATTGATCGAAGAACAAGTGCTGCCTCTCCGTGGATTGGCTGATACAAGTCCAGGCAAGAGGGCCGCCTATACCGGGGTCGGGCCTTGGTCCGGCTTCCCATACGCGACCCCGATCTGTCTTCATCTAAGGTAGATACCATCAGCAACGGTATGAGACATTGGGTCAATTCTGATGGCACTTACAATAAGGGCAGTGGAGGTGTGGGAATACTCTCGGTCAGATCGCAGACAGAACTGCTCAATCAGCTCGCCTTCATCCATCGGCATGTAAAGCCAGACGGCACGTTGGGGCTTCCTCTTGAGCTCATCATAAAAGGCAAAATCCTCTTCTCCCCTGACGTGGGCATGGATCGAGGACAGTTGCGAAGTCCACCGCACAGAATAACCTGTTATGGATGGCAAATTGCATTCGACGGACTTGACGCGGGCGGGCGCCAAACTGTCGTTCGTCCGGATCTGTTTCAAGCATGGATATTTGTCCGGTGGCTGTGGAGTAGCCCAGCAATGGCTCCACGAGAGGAACTCGAGCGCCGCAGCTGGCTTTATCTGACGCAGTTTCATGCCCTGGGCATTGTCAGTAACCGTTCCGATCGCAGGGGGTCATCAAACTTACATCGCTCTGGCAAGTAAAAGTGTCGCCATCCACGGACATGGTCAACCACCAAAGGCCTTCCTCTGGAGAGATGCTGGGCGGCTCGTCATCCACACCGATGACGAGCTTTCGGATGCCCAAATAGTCAAAGGCGATGTAGAGGGCCTTGACTGGTCCCTCGGGTTTCCGCAGCTTGACGACAAAGCTGGCTCTGTCTTCAGGCGGGGGAGGAGGAGAATTCATCAGGCATGCGATGTACTCCTTGCCCTCGAACTTGACAAGACGAGCCCAGATGTCACCATCCACTCGAAAGGAGGTTATCTCGGTATCATGATAGTCCCTGGTCGACATGGCGTAGGCTGTGATGAGCGAAGTGAGGCAAAGTCCAGCAGTCTGATACCCCACATCCCCTGTGAGCGCACCTTCGCTGCGTGCCAGGTTATTGCTCAGCTCCATTTGCAGCCAATTCTGACGGCGCTTGAACTCTGTCATGGTCGGCACATAACTATACCAAACCTTGTCCAGAACTGGCGAAATCACCTCTGCCTTGACTCCACCGTTGGCACACTCAGAGTGGTAGGAGTGAGCCCAAGGGTACGGCAGTCTGTCTTGGAAAGTAGGGCCAAAAGCCTGTGGGTTTCCATGAGAGTCACACCGTATTATCTTGTTTTCAAACCGCGACGTGCTGGACACAGAGCCATCTGACCCCACTAAGGCTGTTGGTTAGCGGTTGGGCATCACAAACAAGGGAGGTGAAGACGGAGAAGGAATGGCAGACACACAACGGACGATTAGATCTCCCGGGTTGAAATGGACCTTGCACAGCTCACACCAAGGCCTGGTGCTGTAAATTACAACACGAGGGCCACAAAACAGAGTGCCTTCCGGCTGAAAATTACTCCCCTGCAGAAGACCTCCCGGCTGAGGATCTCCCACACGAATAAGAGCTCCGTTCAACTGAAAACCTCCACCTTGAACATCCATGATGGCGGTTGCGCAGGACGAGATTGGAATGTAGAAGAGAGGGACGACATGTTGACGAAGGAGCGGGAATGCTGCGTATTTAACTTTCTAATGGCGGCCGACAGAAAGCCACTCAGCAAGCATGGAGATGCAGGCCGTTGGCCGCTCGGCCAGCCATAACAGCGAGAGCCATGCGGGCCCCCAACAAGTCCTGTCAGCCTAACAGCCGCCCGAGGGGATGAACGAGACAACAGAGACGACGACAACAACAACAGCCAGGGAGACCAAAGAGAGAACAAGACAAGGCGGTTCGGATAGCGCCTCTGAGCGTGATTGGCCTGTGCCAGGGGCCGTGCGTGCAGGTCGCAGCACTCCAACGTCAAGATGCACCTCCAGAACACCACCTACGTAACAAGACACTCGCAGTCATATGATGCATAAACAAGCCTGCAGAGGGCCTGCCTATTGCGGTGCAGCGGTATGGCGCATGTCAGACATATTGCGGTCTAGATGCCCGTCTGGCCACACCATCACAGTCTTTGGACGGGAAATGTGCAAGACTGGCTAGCTGAGTGACCCAACGTCGTGCCGCACCCTGTCACCCTCAATGAGGCTCGGCTCACCATTGCGGATTAGTTGCAGCCCAGTGCAACGCAAGGCAGGGATACGACTGGACGAATGCACCTGAGGGACACTCGTGTCGTCTTCTCCCCGCAAGGATTCTGACCGGCTCGGGGCGTTTCTGCGGCTCCCTCCATGCCCTTGCAAACCTTGATGCTCGAAATTGCCAGCAAAGAGTTTCAGGATGCTGTGACCCTACTTTAGCCCCCTAGGGCTCGACACACGCTTGATAGCTTGCGGCTCTCTCCCTCCCCAGCTCCAAATACGCGCCCATCCATGCATGTTGGTTGGGCCAAGAGGATAATCAGTGCCGGATCTGAACACTCAAGCATCTATCGCTCGAATCACAAGCATGTCCGACTCACTCGTCACAGCTTGCTACTCTGAACATGTCGCCATTTCCCTGATACATGCATGGCCACCGGAACCCACACCAACGGGACATAGCAAAGACGATATATCACATTCGCGGGATATTACGACGACAGGTTTATCTCACCGGCGGTAATTCTCAACCGGCCATTGGATCCTGGACGGTCAATGTGCAAATGTCTCCCCGCACGCAAAAGCAATAATAAATGCATCGAGATCACATTGCTGCCCAACCAGCCCTCAGCATCGTATTGCCGCTTCACTTTTGCGTAGGTGGCGTTGCGAGCCGTCTCGATCAAGGATCCAACACGGCCAATCAACGCATCTTGTCGGTCATTTTCCTTGATTCATGCTTCCGAAAACTTCCTTTACGCGTCACGAGGCCTCCGCCCTCTCGTCATGGTGGCTTTGAGATTGACATTATCTGTCTCTCTCTCGTAATATCACAGAGAAGCAGACGCCCCGTTCTCACGTATGTGGAACCTTTGTCGGATCTACTTTGCTAGCGGCCATCGGGTATCGACCTCCTGAGAGAACAAGCTCAATGGAAACAGGGGTCAGCGGTACTTAGGTACTGGCCGGAGCACAGTATCTCAGGCTTGTCTGCCTGGGATGGGTAAATTGATGGCTGGGGCGTGGCCTCCCGCAGATGGCTCCCGTTTGCATGGCTCCCATCATCGCAAGGCTTACCTAGTTCATGGGGACAAATGGCCAAAGCACATACTACCCTGCCGAAATACGCACAAGACGGAGTCCCAACAATCCTACACAGAGATGCTACCTCGGAGCCCTTGACCTTTCACATGGCTACAAGTGGCGTAGTAGTCAGTCGTCACGGCAGAGTGAAGTGGGGAGAGAGCAGCAGGAAGGGGGTCCTCCTCGCCAGGGTACTCTGCGACATCCTGAACACCAATTAACCACACTCACTTGCTGCTACCCGAGGTGTTGCATGGCATGATAGGCTCAAATGAAGAGCAATGGCCCTTTGCAACTGGGTATGCAGCCATCTGTTGTGACTTACTACATTCAGCAACATTTCTGTGTTTGTACAGGCTCGCCGTTGCACCGAGAAAATGAAGACGAAATAGCTTCGTGGGACAGCTCTCGAGCAATTCTGCGCAGCTGATTGGCTGCAAAAAACGCCATACGGGTCAGCCGATGCCCTCGGCAGTCGGCGGTCCATCCAGCATCTCAGAGTGCCTCAAGACACTGAAGCAACTACTAGACGTGGGTAGGCGAGTTGATCACGGTGCTGAGGGCACATCGTTCTCGACTATCACGGGCATACATTCAGCCACCACGCCGCATTCACACATCATCCTCTTACGCAAAATGTCACACTGAGGTACACGAGTATTCTTCATCAAGATGCCACCTAGTTTCATTTTTCTATTGACATCACCAAAATGCAGAACCCTTCCAATGCTAAGTTCTTTCCCATCCGGCGGAACACCTCAAGATAAAAAATCACAAAGAACCGCATAGCCTCACGGAACCACCCTCGCTTTTTAAATCGTAGTCTCGTAGGGAAGAGGGGTAAGGGTCTCAGGCGGGTTGTCGGTCAGGGATACAGTGCGGGCGCCACGGGGTTGGGCGGGCTGGCGCTTGACCTCGACGGTGATGCCCTGGGCGCGGGCGTCCTTCTTCTTCTGGGCGTTCTCCTTGACGCGCTTCAGGAAGTCGTCACGGGAGCCGGAGGCACTGATGTGCTCGATGCGGACGTTGATGCGCTTCTCGATGTAGCGGCCCCAGACCTTCTTGTAGATGATGACACCGACGGCAGACTTGGCGACGTTGTAGACGACACCAGTCTTTCCGTGGTAGACCTTGTAGGGCATACTGCACAATTGTCAGTCAAACGCCCCTCTGCAGCCAATTGCTCTGCTCCCCAAACACCTCGAGCCATGGGAAACTGGAAGTCGTCTTACCCCTTCTGAACGGCACCGTTGACCTTGATATCAACAATGTCACCGACGCTAATCTCGCACAATTAGTACCCTCGTCCGCACGGTATTCAATTTCGATTGCTGGGAGAGACGAACCGGTACTGGCGCAGGTAGGTGCTCAGCTGGATCATACCCTTCTTGCGGAAATCCCTGCTGAAGGCATACTGCAATCGACGACGAGACACGGGTTAGCAGAGAGTCCAGGACGAGAGGAGACGAGGCAATGGTGTCAACGTACGCGGGTGCCCGCACGCTTTCCGTATGAGTGACCCATCGCGGCTGTGTTTGTCGAGGGGCTGCGAAGGTGATGCTGGTGGTGATTGTTGGTTGCGTGAAAGGCAAAAAGTCTCGAAGGCCTCTCAAATCGCAAGGTATGGGGGTGGATTTTCCGAGCAAGCACCTTGTGGGAGTGGAGCGGATCCCACGATGTTCCGAGATTTTTCCCTCCTACGCCCGCCCACCAAATTTGCGGCCCACACCTGCCTTTGCCCTAGAATTTCTAGGGCTGCCGGTGCGCAGGCCACGTGATGCACCTACGGGTCCCACCTCTTTTCGCGAAAAAGTTAACCACACCACAGACTTGGCCGAAATTCTTGTGAAGACAAGTCCCTCCATCAACGGCAACTAACCACAGGGAAACGAGACAAGTAAGTTTTCAGCATCGTGAAAAACAACTCCCTTCCTCTCCTCAGACTTCAGTCAATTAACTTGTTGCAATCTGCAGAATGCCTCCCCGCGCCTACTCCAAGACCTCCCGTGTCCCTCGCCGCCCCTTCGAGGCCGCTCGATTGTCAGTACTCACCGGCCACTGAGCATGAGCTTGCCTCTGTTTAAGTCGATTGTGACCAGCAACAACTGACATGGAAATAACAACAGGGACACTGAGCTGAAGCTCGTTGGCGAGTATGGCCTGCGCAACAAGCGTGAGGTCTGGCGAGTCGGTCTGACTCTGTCCAAGATTCGTCGTGCTGCCCGGTATGTCTCCTGCCCAGAATTCTTTTCTGTCCCTTGGGCCTCTCTAGATCCTGGGGGTTTCCTCCCCAGGGATTGCATCTTATTCTCTGGGATTGCACCTTCCTTTCTCTGGAATTGCATCTTTCCAGTTGCGTGATCTCGGCTGGAAATTCAACGCCTCGAGAATTGCATTGCAAGACTTGCTTCTCAGGTGCTAGATTTTTGCTGCGTGATCTCGACTTGCGAATTTGCACAACCAGTTCCTTCACTCCACTCGATTTCTCCTATCCCTCCTCTTTTCCCCAATCTACCACTCTCCATTCGCCCTACTCGTTCCAATTTACTAACAATCCCACAGTCAGCTTCTTACCCTCGACGAGAAGGACCCCAAGCGTCTCTTCGAAGGCAATGCCCTCATTCGCCGTCTCGTCCGTGTCGGTGTCCTCGACGAGTCCCGCATGAAGCTCGATTACGTGCTCGCCCTCAAGGTTGAGGATTTCTTGGAGCGCCGCCTCCAGACCTGCGTCCACAAGCTCGGTCTCGCCAAGTCCATCCACCACGCCCGTGTCCTGATCCGTCAGCGCCACATCCGCGTCGGCAAGCAGATCGTCAACGTCCCCTCGTTCATGGTCCGCCTCGACTCCCAGAAGCACATCGACTTCTCCCTCACCTCTCCTCTCGGAGGTGGCCGCCCCGGCCGCGTCCGAAGAAAGAAGGCCAAGGCCGCCGAGAAGGAGGACGGCGACGAGGAGGAGGATGACGAGTAGATTATTGTTTAAACAAAAAAGAACGGTTCAATGTTCAAGGCTAGGGCAGACAAAAGGGGTGTTTGTTAGTAGGCACTCTTGATTCGTAACGAAAAAGGTCTCGTCCCCAAGAAATGGCGCATTCCCAAGGCGAAATGGATTGATTTTTACGGATCCTCTTCCTGTTTGCACTCACGATAGTTGTGATCATCATCCAATGCAACGCTGGCATCTCACATACGCCATCTTCTCTCTATAACCCCTTCGTACGCGTAAACCATTGTCTCTTGTGCATGCTGCTCTGCTTCGTTCACCGCTGTTTTGACATTGGTGCTAATCCCACGGTAGAGTAGAGTCTCTGCTCCACGAAGGCAATTTCTGCCTAATCGACACGGCTTCTCTGCTGCATCTTCAAATGCTCTGCCACACCGACTTCACTCCTTTTCGGTATCATCGTAATTTCTCTGCTCTCCTCAATTGTAAATGTTATTGTTACACAAGGAGCCGTCTTCTTGTTCAATTCTTTTTCCCTTACATACCACGACGAGTACGGCAAAGATCCAGAGTCTTTTCCTCTTCTCTAGGCTCTCTGGTCTTCGCCATTTTTCTAAATGCCTGCAAAAAGTTCGGTGTGTAAACCTAACCAGGCATCTCTGCTCCGCCATCTACCCTAGAGTACCAGTATTACTCAGTGTCTCAATCCCTAGTAGCAAAATCCCCTCTTGACAAACTTATCTCAATGAATGCAATCAATTCTTGAACCGTGATTTGATGCCTAAGAGGGGTTAGCAATTCCCTTTTCTCCTCGTTGGCCAAGACGTGAGACGAAGTAACTTGTGTCGCGCGCCATGCCACTCAACCCCCCAACTAGAGAATGAGGTTAAACAGCACCACGTCTGCCACCCTCTGCGCACACCAAGAGTCGCTTTTACATAGCAAGGAAGAATGAGTTAAATTATTTAAAATTTCCCACTGATAGTAAAAGATACTGTAATTAAGTCTATCTATCTTTCTAGGCGAGAATAGCTTGATTGGATGTGATATTGGTGATTATGTGGTTTTGCCTTCTGCATTCCTAATACAGCGCCCTAAGGCCCCTGGAAGGCCCCTGGAAGCATGGCCACAGCGCCTGGAGAGGTGATTGACTAGCCGGACGTGGTGGTTCGATAGTAAAATCCAAAAAGTAGTAGCAATAATTGTAATCTTCAGCTACTGTCCCCTTTTATCATATTAAAAAATCTATTTCACCAGGCTCAAACAGGTCCTCCAACTGCTCCTCGTTACTCCGCTCGCTGTAGTGTACGTCCAACTTCATCAGGATGCGTGATCTAGCCAGGTTCAACCATGTTCCTCCAACTGCTCCTTGTCACTCCGCCCGCTGTAGCGTACGTCTAACATCATCGGGATGCGGGAGCTGGCCGGACTCGATCAGGCCCTTCAGTTCGTCCTTGTCACCCCATTTGTCGTAGCATTCCAGGTACTCCTCGCCGAGGAACTCTGCGATCGGGCGGGCCAGGTCGTGGCCGAGCTTGGCGTACACGTTCCGATCCAGGGTTCCGGTCCACCGCTCCATCCCGGGGGGGTAGAAGCCGGCGTACTCCCAGTCGATCAGGGCCGTGACCTGGAGGGTGTCCGGGTTCACGATCACGTTGTGGGCCCCGAGGTCGCCGTGCTGGAAGACGTACTCGGGCTCCGATCGGGGGAGGGTCTTCCACCGCTTCATGCCCCTCCACGGAGGCTGGACGTCGGGGCTGAGCCAGCGGGGGGGCATGACGAACCCGTCGATGCCTCGAGTGTGAGACGTCAGCTTTGCGAGCTGCGGCAGGACGGTTGTGTTGATGAAGTCGACTGCGTTGGCGTGCGCCTGGTCGAAACATTGCTGGCAGGGCACGCTCCCGCCTGGGTGGCTCTGTCCCAGTGGCCGTAGGCAGCCGCGGCGTTGGATCTCAGAGAGGGTGAGTCCCTCGATGCGCTCGGTTATGAGGTATCGGCGGCCGTCTGGGTGTTCTCCATGGTCAATCAGCCTTGGCAGGGGGATTGTTGTGTTCCGAGACACCAGCTCCATGGCCTTGGCTTCATTCGTGATGCGTTCGTGGTTCCTATTGGGGATTTTGGCGGTGGTTAGAAACGGACGGCTATCGCACTTGGATCATCCTGGCGCTTTTTCTCACCATGACCTGAACCACTTGAATATAGTTCCGTCCGGACTGGGGTGGTCTACAGTAAGACGAGAGGTCTTCCTGAAGGTTGTGGTGGTAAATTCGTATGCTGTGTCTTCGGTTTGGTACGAATGTGATGGCAGAACCCGGGCCACTATAGAATAAGGTAGTCAGCTTAGAGCTTGAGAGAATCAAGTTGAAGGTTGGAAATAGTAAAGGAAGCTTACCTTCTGACTTAGAGAAGGGACCTTCGGCAGGCTCAGCATCAGACGTGCCGTCTGCACCGTTGCGCTTGCAACGGCGGTCTGGGGTCTCAAACGGGCTGCGCTCGTCTGCCCCGCGCGGCGGCGTGAAACAGCCAGCTCGTGGCTGTGGGTGAAGCATGTCCCCGGGGGATGGAAGCTGCAGCAATTGAGGAGGCTGGAGATCTGCTGCAGGTCAGGTGTCGGCAGGAATCGTCCATGGGGAAGCAGAATAGCATTTTGCAACAGAGGGCACGAGCGTGTTCATGGGATTGGCAATTGACGAAGACCAGCCTCGTGAAGTTGTGCAACTCTTGGTTATGCGGGCTTAGTCATGCGGAGTGAGAGGGTGAGACAGCTGCTGCCTTTTGCTCGCGTCGCACGGCAGCTGCGGCCATGGAACTTGGAATAGAGGGAGGCCACAATCAGTGGCCCGGGTTTGTTAACGCTGCTGATGAATGTGACGAGCTGTGGGCGGTCTGGCTCTGTGGTGTTTGGTAATGTGACTGTGGGATGCTGGAGACTCCTCCCCCGCTTTGACCTGTTGAACAGGGCATGTGATTGATGCGCGCCGACATCTCAACCAACTGTAAGAATCTAATTGTTAGCCGTCATGTAATATGGGACATGGTTAGGTCTAAAATTCAAATGAATCACAAGTTAGATACTCTTTTGTCTGGTGAGATGGGTAGAATACCCTGGTTGCACCTCAGTGGCTAAGGGGCATGGGCCTTTGACTTTTCGTTGGAGAACCGCCTGCTTGCTCTTGCCACCTGCGGAGGCCAAACACTCAGTAACAGCAGGCCGGAAGGCACATATCCGCGAGGTGGGCCGTCGAGTACTCTGTAGTTCGCGAAGGTGGCTTGGATAAGCGAGAAGCGGGCATGACTCCACGGTCAAACAGTCAAGCAAGAACCAAATGCTAGCCAGAGAGGCCGCCATTACCCTGGAATCTTTGGGAAACCGACAAGAACAGAACAAGCTTCTCGCCGAGCCCTCGCGTAGTTCCTAGTATGGTAGGTGGGTCAGACAGAAGCTCCGGGCCCGGCGCCGGGAAGGCAGCAGGGGATGCTCTCTGTGGATGAGGAGCTTGTAAATGTTTACTTGGGGGTCCTTTTTTAGGGATGTGAGCCTGGGAAAGATGTGTGCTTGTAAGACATGTTGCCTTTGTATTCCGTGACCATCCAGTCGACCTCTTGGGTTGCTGGGAGGTGTTGCATGCTGGCGAGAGGCTCCTTCCTCGGCCAGAACTTGGGACGAGGTGCTCCACCCCGGCCCCACTCGAAGAGACCTCAGAGGCGAGGGACCTTCCCTTTGCTCGGGTTTGGGAAGCTGTGGGCGTTGCCTGTTGCCTTGTTCTTCTTAGAGGAAGGCCTGGTAGGTACACGGCGCTTCGTCAAGGCTCATCTTCTCTCCCCATCTTCTCTATCTCCTTTCACATCGTCTTCTATCCTCCCGACTCTACACGGCCAGCTAGGCAAGTTCCTCCGTGAGTTGACGTCTCAGCGTCTCTTGTCGTGCTAGAGTTCGATTCAACAGTACTTTGGCCGATCCATCTTGGAACTTTCAGCAAAGTCCTCTTCCGATAGCCAGGGAGATGAAAGATGCCCTTGATCAAACCTATCTCTCCGTGAGTAGACCTCCCTCTTCCTCTTTCTGAGTTGAGACTTGACTAAACAGCGCTCTAGTTACTGTTTCATCACCGACTCAGTTGATCAAGCTCGCTTTTCTGTTACTTTTTTGAGCATAAAGGACTAAAAAAGAAAGCCTAGAGTTGAGCCAAATGTTAGCCCAGAGCCGATACCGTCTTGCTTTGGTTCGTGTTGTACATTTGAAACTGCAAGCACCTACTCTCCGCTCGGTTCAAGCTAATAATCAATCATCACAGATCACAAACGAACCGAAGATAAGTCTAGGAGGAGTCAATATTAGGCACAACACGAATATACCTAGACAATTGGCGAAAGCTCCTTTGGCAGCTGATCACACCCTCCTCTGCGGGTGAGGACCGAACTCACAGCCGTCATTAGCCCTCCTCTTTCAATCAGCTGGCGCCGTCGCAAAACCCAATCAACTCATCTATCAGTAGTTGTATCAACGCTGGTTCCTCTCTTCTTCCTCAACACGAAGACCGTGAAGTTTCCAATAATGGCACTCCGGGAAGGCCCAGGAGACCGTAGCGTCCTCCCCAGCCCCTGGACAATTGTTTTCTTCTTCTGAAACCAAATGATGGCCCAGACCAAGCCACTCCAGCTATTGTGGCATGGCGACCGATTATATGATACACCCGTTGCGGTTGGTAGCATCGTGCTGACTCGGCCGTCAACTGTCTCGTAAGTTTTCATTCCATCCCCTAGTTTCGGTAGCTTTCATAACTGAGCACTGCCGTGTGGTCAAGATGACGGCTAAGCGTTCTTCTTGCTATAGCTTCCTTTGACAAACAGCCACTCCGAGGTCAAAATATGTGACGTCGAGTTCTTGATTAGGGGTGTGCGCAAGGCGGATGAGTTGGACTTTACACAGATCGAAACAGGCATCCCCATGCGGAAGCTCAAAGCGGGCAAGAAAACACCAGCCTTGGAACACTGCTTCGCTCTCAATACAAGGGGTGCAAGGCAGACGCGGCCCGCTGGACAGATCAGACCAATATCGATGAGACACAGATGGGAAAACACTAGCGTCGGAAGATGCATCGCTCTCTATTCTCGTCGAGTCATTCGAACTCGGCTTCCCGCCATTGCTGTTATATATATTTTGTACTTGGCCCCCCTATTTCATGTCAACCAGCACATCATCCTTCCCCAGAAGTTTCGCCATGGGGTCGTGCGTTGCCGTTCTCTTCCTCCGATACTCATCCATCTCTGCCTCTGTGATCCCATTCATCATTTCCTCTCGCGTACGCTTCGATGCCGTCTTGCTTGGCCCATCTTGCTGCTTCTCATTATCATTCTTTATTTCCGCTTCTTCGTGGTTCTCGTCGTGGTTCTCCTCTGGTGCCCCGTTTAGCCCGTCACCCATCTTCTGTCGCTCTGCGGCTTCCCACGCTTGCTTGCCCTCCTCGCCAGTGCAGTAGCTGTTCTTCACGGTTGAGTGGCAGCACGCGAAGCCCCACTTGAAGTTGAACCACCAGCTTCCCCAAACCGAGGTATGATTGTTGACCATGACATCTTCGGCGTACTTGGAGCTAACCTTTTTCCTAGGTTGCCCCTTTATTAATCCGGTTTCATCATATTCGACAAAAACTTCTGACTCGGTCACAGTCATGTTCCGCAACGCTGCAGGCAAGGGCTTCTGGTCCGCGCTGCCGTACTTGTCCATTAACATCTTCTCCCTTTCTACCCGCTTCTTCTCGGCCTCCTCAGCGGCCTTCTTGCGGTAGAATTCACCCGCTGTTGGGTTGGCTTGCAGATGCAGGGCTGTGTTGCCAGAAGTTTCTTGCGTCTCCCACGCAAGTCTCTGTGCCTTCTCCATCTCGCCAGCGTCACCAGAGGAGCGTTGGAATCCCTCCTCGGCAAAAAGCTCGGACGCCTTGTCCTTCATAGCACCACCATCCACCAACGTTCTGGTTTTCGGGTCGTATTTGGCTGACTCAAGGTCAAGATTGAGCAAGTACTTGGCCGTGTCCTCGCGGATACGAAGTTGGCGCGTTGCCGTGCTTTGATGCTTGCTCATGTCGTTTGTCTCGGCGTATTTGTCGCCCTCGTCATCTTCTTCTTCGTCGTCGTCATCTTCGCCGTTGGGTTTCGCTAACCGTTTGGCCTGCTTCCGAAGCTCCTCCATCTGCTGGTAGTCTTCAACCACCTTGCGGTACTCTCTGGCATCGTAGCCATTCCACCGGTCGCGTTTGGCGTCCCAGCCGAGATTGACATCCTGGATGACCTCGTCTGCCTGGATATTCTTGCCTGTCCACTTAGCACCCTTGGCCCTCGGTCGGCTCAAGCAGTCTTTGGCCTTGTGTGTCATGGCGCCGCAGTTTTCGCATGCGCCCTTACGGTATTTAGTCGCTGCAGGGCCTGCCTTGCGACCTCGGTCGTACCATGCTTTGCTCTCTTCCTTTTCCTCTTTGCGCTGATGCTTGAGGTAGTCGTTGTCGTTGTCGTCTCCATCTGCAGCGTAGAAGGGGCGCTTGCTGATGAAGGACGGGATGTATTCGTTCTGCTCTTTGGCGGCCGCGCCGGCCTGCGGCTTGCTAGTAGGAGGCGCCATGTTGAAACACGCCTGTTTGTTGGCTCGATATGGTCGGTGGATGGGCGGCGTGGCAGCCTGTGAGTTGTTGGAAAGGTTGGTGATAGGGGTTCGGTATCGATGGATTGTTGAGCGACTTCACGGAGTCCCACAATCAGGGGCGCGCGCTCTTTACGAATCGGCGGTCAACTTATCAACGGGAGGACGAGATCAACGAAACGTCGCCACGTTGTCTAGCGCGCCTTCTTCGAGATGGTCAAGGAACTGGGGATGATGGAGCACGAGTGGACGCAATCACACCGTCAAGCACGCGCTCTTCGCAATGCTGATGGGCAAGGATCAACAGGACGTCAGGCGTGCCCAGACGCATTCGCAACTAGAACAGCTCGAAGAAACGGCCGAGTGTAGTGCCAGAGTCGGCATCGACGGTCGATCGAACTCGGATGGCAAAGTTGGTGAAGAAGGGCAGGACGAAGAGAACTTGTTCACATGCTCTCGTAAGCAGGCATTAGTAGGGGGTTCGAGGCCCGTGCAATTGTTGGTGCATGCTCTGGGAAGCAGGCAACCGTCGACAAACTGGCCAGAACTGGTGCGAGTTCTGGGTAAGGACCATGAATTGCGAGTTGAGGACAAGAGGCTCCGTGACATCAAAAAAGTATGCGCCTGCAGGCTCACGGGGATGATCTCAGCGGACCCACTCGTGCGACAGCGTGCCTTCCCTGGCGGCGGGTGGCTCGGTTGATGCCTGAGGCGGCGGTGCAGAAGCTCCACGCACCAGCGCCAGCGCCTGTGAGTGCCTGACATCAAGGAAGGGCCCACCAGCGATCCGTACCCACGGCGACCGGCAGCCACGCCACTACCTAAGACGAACAGTTCTCTGGCTTGCCAAGGCAGTTGCATTGCCATTCGATTCGTCAGGAGCTTACGACGTTCGAGGTCTAGCATTCACTCTCTCCGCCATTGTTAAAAGCTCCCAACTCTTCCAAAGACCAACTATTTTCCGTCCGTCGAGCTTGCTACGCGCTTAACACAGGCCTTGAGAGCTGCGCCTTCGGAAGCTCCATCGCTGGGGTGTGTCATCATCTTGCAGACTGCGACACATCCTAAGAAACAACGCCGCCCCTCCACGCGACAACCTCCTTGGCCACGGCCACAGCACTCACAAGTCACCATGTCTATTCGTGGGGGCGATGGCGGCAAGTGAGTTTCTTCCTCCTCCAGCTCTGCCATCTCTGGCCTCCGTTACACCCCTAATTCTAACTGTCCCTACTAGGACCGACCAAGATCTTGCCATCAACATTCGAAAGGCGACGAACAGCGACGAAATCTCCCCCAAGCGAAAGCATGTGCGCGCATGCATTGTATACACATGGGACCACAAGTCCTCCCAGGCTTTTTGGGCTGGCATAAAAGTGTGAGTTCTTTGCTGCCGGAGATCGCGATTGTCACAGCTCCCCTTTTCCTAGTAGCTCTCTGTTGCTATGCCTCTTCTTCGCTTGCGATAGCTCTCAAGTAACATGACTCTTGACTCCTGGAGCTCCCTCTTTGCCGTGGCTCTCTGCTAGTACATTGACCCGAGCAGGCTAACACGACCGCACAGGCAACCCATCATGGCCGACGAGGTGCAGACCTTCAAAGCGTTAATCACCATCCACAAGGTTCTACAAGAAGGGCATGTCGTGGCGCTGAGGGAGGCAATGGCCCACCGCAACTGGATCGACAGCTTGCAACGCGGCATGACCGGAGAGGGCGTCCGTGGTTACGGTCCCTTGATTCACGAATACGTCTACTTTATTCTAGCCAAGCTTTCCTTCCACCATTCCCACCCCGAGTTCAACGGAACTTTCGAGTACGAAGAGTATATCAGCTTGAAGGCCATTAACGACCCCAACGAGGGATACGAGACCATCACCGATCTCATGGCTCTGCAAGACAAAATCGAACAATTCCAAAAGCTCATCTTCTCCCATTTCAGACATGTCGGAAACAACGAATGCCGCATCGCCGCTCTGGTCCCTCTTGTTCAAGAAAGCTACGGAATCTACAAGTTCATCACCAGTATGCTGAGGGCTATGCACTCAAGTAAGATACCAGTTCTAGTTTCTGTTGTTGTTGCTGCCTGCAGTTGCCCCGTTTGCTCCTTCCTACCCTGCCTTACTCTCCTCTTGCCCGCCCCTCCTCTTTATGCCCATTCTTTTTTCCTCGCATTAATTACCTAACTCGCCATTTTTCAGTTACCGGCGATGACGATGCCCTTGAGCCTCTCCGAGAGCGTTACGGCGCCCAGCACTACCGGCTGGTCAAGTTCTATTACGAGTGTTCCAACCTAAGATACCTCACGAGCCTTATTACGATCCCGAAGCTGCCACAAGAACCTCCTAATCTGCTGGCCGAGGACGAGAATGCTCCAGCCCTTCCGGCTCGGCCCAAGCAAGAGATTGAGCGTCGCCCGACACCGCCTGCCCAACCGAAGCACGAAGAACCCGACCAAATATCCGAGTTCTGGCAAAATGAAGTCGAGCGTCAGAACCGCGAATATGAAGAGCAGCAGCGCATTCTCGAGGAGAGACAGCGGCAGGCCCTTCTGGCCCAGCAGCAGGCTCAACTGCAGGCACAGCGAGATTTCGAAGAGCAGCAACGACGCCTGGCCGAACAGCAGCAACGTGAGCAGGAGGCGCTCCTGGCACAGCAGGCGCAGTGGCAAACACAGGGTCGTTTGGCTGAGCTCGAGCGGGAGAACCTCAACGCCCGTGCCCAATACGAGCGTGATCAGTTGATGTTGCAACAGTATGATCAGCGCGTAAAGGCACTGGAGGGGGAGCTTGCACATCTCCAGAACAGTGTGGGAGCCCAGATGCAGAGCCGTGACGATCAGATCAAGGCCTTGCAAGAACAGGTCAACACTTGGCGCACAAAGTACGAGTCCCTGGCGAAACTCTACTCGCAGCTGCGCCAAGAGCATCTTGATCTGCTGCAAAAGTTCAAGACGGTCCAGCTCAAGGCTGCCAGTGCGCAGGAGGCCATTGACAAGCGTGAGAAACTGGAGCGCGAGATCAAGACCAAGAACCTGGAATTGGCGAACATGATCCGCGAGAGGGACCGCGCACTCCACGACAAGGACCGAGCTAGCGGCAGCAGCAAGGATGAGGTTGAGAAGCTCAAGCGCGAACTCCGCATGGCAAACGATCGTGCCGACAATCTGGAGCGAAGCAAGGGCAACGAACTCTCTACTATGCTCGCTAAGTACAACCGCGAGATGGCTGACCTTGAGGAAGCCTTGCGAAACAAGTCCAAGGCTCTGGAGGACGCTCAGTCCAATGTGAGAGACGGAAACTCCGATTTGGAGCAACTCCTTCGCGACAAGGAGGAGGAGCTTGAGGTCTACAAAGCAGGCATGGACCAGACGCTTCTCGAGCTCAATGATCTCAGGCAGAACCAGGGGGTTAGCGACAGCGCCCTCGACGGGCAAATCGATGCGCTCATTCTGGCCAACCTTGACAAGATCAACGATATCATTGACTCTGTGCTTCAAGCAGGAGTTTCTCGCGTTGATGACGCCCTGTATGAAATGGATTCAACCATGCAGGCAGGTAACCAGAACGCCTCTCCTTCCTACGTGCTGTCCCAGATCGAGAAGGCATCAGCAAGTGCCATGGAATTTGCCACGGCGTTCAACAACTTCATCGCAGACGGCCCCAACAGTACTCATGCGGAGCTTATCAAGACCATCAACGTTTTCTCGGGCGCCGTCGCCGATGTCTGCGGCAACACCAAGGGTTTGAGCCGTCTAGCCACCGACGACAAGGGCACCGACTCATTGATGGGCGGCGCGAGACAGTCCGCGCTCTCGACGATCCAATTCTTCCGTGGATTGCAGAGCTTCCGACTAGAGGGAATGGACCCCCTGCAAAAGACAGATGTCGTTATCAATAGTAACAATGACGTCCAGATGAACTTGCAGAAACTGAACAAGCTGGTTGAGGCGTTTGCGCCAGGATTCGGCAAGCTCACCAACAACAAGGGAGATCTTGGCGACCTGGTGGACTCTGAACTCAGCAAGGCAGCCGATGCCATTGCCGCAGCGGCAGCTCGGTTGGCGAAGCTGAAGAACAAGCCTCGTGATGGGTACTCAACCTACGAGCTCAAGGTCCACGACTCGATCCTGGATGCTGCAACTGCCATCACCAATGCTATAACACAGCTGATCAAGGCTGCCACTGCTACCCAGCAGGAGATCGTCCAGGCTGGTCGTGGGTCATCGTCGCGCACGGCTTTCTACAAGAAGAACAACCGATGGACAGAAGGACTCATTTCCGCTGCCAAGGCGGTCGCTTCGTCTACCAACACGCTCATCGAGACGGCGGATGGTGTCCTCTCGAACCGAAACAGCCCAGAACAGCTCATCGTGGCGTCCAACGATGTCGCTGCTTCAACAGCACAGCTAGTGGCAGCAAGCCGTGTCAAGGCTGGGTTCATGTCCAAGAGCCAGGAGAAGCTGGAGCAGGCCAGCAAGGCCGTCGGCGCTGCCTGCCGAGCGCTTGTCCGACAGGTGCAGAACATGATCAAGGAGCGCAACCAAGGAGAGGACGAGGTAGATTACTCCAAGCTAGGAGCCCACGAGTTCAAGGTCCGCGAGATGGAACAGCAGGTATGTTTACTTCAACTTCGTCCTATTCCCCTTCACTCTTCCTCTACTCAGCAGTCATTCCTCCCCCAACCCTTCACCATACTTCTGTCTTACCCTAGATCGGTCCTGTCCTCTGCCCAAGGCAAAGTATTCTGTCTCGCTCCAATTGTTTTCAACTACCCTACAACACTAGCTGCTTCCCCTCCCCGAAACTTTCTCCCCCTCCATATCTCTACCTCTCTAGTTCGGGTCAAAGCTACATAGGCTCCCCACGTTTGTCAACCAATTGGAGTCTTTTGGGATGGCTACTAGTGTCGGACTGAGATATGGCATTGCGGAGGAAACACGTGCTTGTGGTATACGCTTGTTATGCTTCATGGGCGGAGTGGCGATTGCCCTCCCCCTCCAGGGATCCGCAGATCGAGTGTGACTGCGCTACTAGTGCCCACGCCACAATCTGAACAATGTGCGAAGAGGAACTAACGATAGTTGATTTGCCTTTTCAGGTCGAAATTCTTCAGCTCGAGAACGCACTGGCCTCTGCGAGACATCGGTTGGGTGAGATGCGGAAGATCTCATACCAAGAAGAGTAATTGGCCAAGGTATGGGCAGTGGGCAGACGGTGCAAGCGACGAATGGCAATCAATACGACATCACTCGACCATCTTCCGTGTCTTGGCTCGATGGCAGATTGGCTGTTTGCAACTATCTCCACACATGCTGCCTCCCTTCCAGTTCACCGTGCGGATTTGGGACAGCCATTCTCCCTTAAGGCATCTGGAAAGGTCGCGGCCTTGTACCAGTGACAACAACAACTTTGTATCTATTCTGTGGGAGATTTTTGGTCTCCATGTCTATCTTGTTGGGAGCGAGCGGTAGCATGCATGCATCTAAGTTGGGGGCACTTGGTTTTTCATTGGACGGGAAGCAGGAAAAGCAAGACAACCTCCTGGGACGTATCTACGTGTCTGCTTTGGTCTGGATCGTTTGGAAGCTTTTCCCCCTATCCTTATCTGCGGTTGTCTATGGTTCACGTTCTCTTTTTTTGTTCTAATCTAACTTCACAGTATCCTCCTTATTCTCCAGTCCCATTGCCCAATTTTCCTCCAGTTTCTGAGTCTTCACCTCCCTTCATCGACATTCATGAGAAAGCTCACATTTTCCCGTGTCCCGCTTTTTTATGGTACCTGTCGCGAAAAGATGAGGGGAGGGGACACATCAACTTACGCGATACCACTAGACCCAATCCATGATTGTGACATGGCGATGTGATAGCTCAGGCATTCTCAATGTACTCTTCGTCCTTTTTTTTCTTATTTGGTCCTTGTCCAGGGGAAAGGGAGGGGGCGTGCGTTCAGGCGGTTGATGTGTCGGTATGCTGGTTCAAGAAGTCCAAGTGTTGCACCGAGAAAACCACCCGACGGACTTGAAAGGTGGTCCCTGTCTGGCAATCCCGGTCCTCGTGTATGTACATGCCTGCGTCAAGTATGCAGAGGATTTCGATGGGCAGTGTCTAGGTCTCGGGGCAGGCAAGGCGTCCTCTGTTCGGACCAACCAGGTGGTAGGGTTGAGCAGCGCTTGCGACCAACAGACATCTAAATGCGCCACATTACGGAAGATCCTTGCTGTTTGCGCTAATTTAAATTGAGAAGGGAAAAGCAAAGATCGGAGTTTCAAACAACGAGAAGGAGAAGCAAAACACGGCGCGGGCGAGCTAGATCATGGGACTGAGTGACGCAGGATGCGATATGTGCCAAGTCCAAAGCGCAATGACTAAATCAAACACCAGCAGCGCCGAGATGCGTGTGGGGTCGGGCCTCTTTGCTTCCGCTCTCACGTCTGGGGCTGGTCAGGCTGTCAAATCACCAAGTCGGTTGGAGGTCTAACGCCACCGGCGACCCCAATACTGGCCAGTAGTGCGAGCGGAGATAAGGGTCTCCTTCTAGGCCTGGAGGCGGGTTGGGTCGGGTTTCTTTGCGCATACACGACGATGGGGTCACAAAATCGGTGTAGCTGCACGTCATGACGCGATACTTGGCTAGGTATGCCGTTACGTGCAAAGTATCTGATCATCGCGGCTGCGCCGCGGAGTTGCGACGATCGATGAGAGTCATATCAAGAATCAAGTTTTAGGCACAGGACACGATGACCAGTCACCACAATCTGCGAAGCTATCAAATGCACGAATTTCCCAATCCTCTTACGCGCATGCTCACCGCAGGAGGAAGAGCAGGCAGAAACTCAGATAACAATAATGCAAGCAGCAGGCGGAGGCGACTGCAACTGGTACTGGTCGCCGTCGTAGGGTAGGGTCGGGGTCGGGGGATTATGGCGCGCTAATGTGTGTGAGACTGCGACAGTGTTGTGCGAAAACGAGATAGCAGCCGACCAACACGGGCGGGGCACCAGGGACCAGGGTGATGCATCGTCACCTTTCACATTTTCAGGTGGTCGAATGGCTGGCTGGACTGCAACAGGTCTCGCGTACCATGCCAATTGACCCAGAGGAAACTACCTTGGAAGGAGGTAATGCTCCATGGATGAGACATTGCAGTCAGAAAGTATCTCATGATGCTAGTTGGGTTCCAATCCACGAATTTGCCCTCCACCAGCAGCCTCTAGCCATATCCTTGACCGAATTGACATTTCAGTGGAACCTAGTCAGGCCTGTTGCTCAACCAGGTTGAAGTTGGCCCCACTGCCTTTGGTTTGTCTGTGGTGGGCGCAGAGTGCACCAGCCCCAGAGCCACCATCTGGCTCGGCTCTTCGGGATTTGCGACGATTTACACGGCAGCCCCCGTCCAGACCTCCACACAGGCGGGAAGCCAGTAGCCTAAAACGGGAGCAGCGACAAAAGGAGAAGGGCAGAAGGGGGTTCTCAGCCTGGAGGACATAGCGGAAAGAGGGGGACCAAGACTATCGGAGATTGCCTACACAGCCTGCGGAACTCGCGCGTTAGCTAGCAAAAAAATCAAATGCCAGCACACCCTCGACTCTGTGTGAGACACTCAGTCGCCAATGATTGGCTGGTCACTCGACTGCTGATTGGTTGAGTCTCCCTCGGACCAGACTCTCGGGTCCCAGTAAGACAAATTGACTGGGTTTACGGGAGGAAATGACAGGGGGAAGGGGCAAGATGGAATGTGAACGAGGCGAAGCACATATGCGGTTGCGTCGAATATGCAGGAAGGCCACCAACAAAGTCAGACAGACACCGCTCCAAGCGAAGTGGCTCCCCGATAAGACGCAATCTTAGCTGCACTAGTGCCAGCTAATGACCAGCAGTCTACGAGACCACGAGGGCCTCTGAGGCGCCCTGTGCATGCATCGCGCAGTGGTCTGGGTGTTGTAGGTAGATCAGACGGGACCGGTATGGAAGCACTCGACTTCTTGATCGGTCGGTCGGTCACAAAGGGCGGACGCAGCTAAGAGACACGGCACGTAGCGCCTTGGTACCCCTCTTCTTGCGCGCGCACTCACGTCCAAGCGAGCACACACATTCTCTCTGTTGTCTCTCTCTCCCACACACACAGAACGCAGGAGGCTTGGAGCGACGGTGGGAAGGTTATGCTGCTTGGCTTGTGGGCTGGCGACCACGTACCAGGAACGTCCAAACTGGGCCAAGGGGTCGGCCACCTTTCCCCACGGCTAGTTAAAATTGCCTAGGACGTTCCACAGCCTGTCAACAGGGGACGAGCCCTACAGGCACGACCTGCCAACCCACTTGGCCTGTATAGTGGCTCTGTGTCACCATTTTCTCCAGGGCAGACAGGGCAGACAGGCCTGTGCTACGCTGCCAAACTAACGGGGACGACCGGGCCCTCAGAGCGACCGGGGTCAGAGGGTCTAAGGGCATCTGGGAAATCTTGCACCATTCTAGGCTGCACAGCACTACGCGTAGGGCATAGCGGCATCGCATATCGCAGATGCCAAGGAGCGTCGTAGCTTTTAGCGCATGCCTGGGTTTGGAGGCGCCACAAAACATACATTGCCCTCCATCCTCCAGCACCGCGCCCGGGCTTCTTTTCTTTTTTAGAGCAGGCTAGGCTCATGTCGGTACGTTTTGGGTGATGCTGGGAGGGGCAGGGGTCCAAGGTGACTCGCCCGTGCAGCCAGCCAGGGAGCGCTGCAGGCTACGGCCGCCAGCCAGCCCGCAAGGTGCACCCGCTCGAGGCAGTTGGTGCATATGTCCGAATTGGACGAATTTATCAGATCATCACATCCGTCGCATCATGCATTCCTACACCATACATGGGTGAGCACGCAACCTAATTAGATTTCTCTGGGACTGCTGACGTGGAAGAGACAAGACGCCGACCCAGGGCTGAGAAAGGAATCAAGCCTTGCCAGGACATGGTGGTAATCTCCTCTCGATTGATTAACATGCTTGAGACAGGATCTAATGTGGCCGACACAGCGCAAGCACACCACCATCACTGGTGCCCCGACGTAATTTGAGCATGGCTGGAATCCATGCTCTTGAACTGGCCATCGGAGATTTTGCGCTAACGGCTGGGGCTGGTGCGCCGCCGCTGGCCTGTGCGCGATTTGGGTGGGCTGCCCACCCGTCTTCAGCCTCTTGTCTACGGTTGTCGTCCTGCATGGCTATCGAGCGCAGCTCATCGCCCTCTGCCCTCGGCCCTCGAGATGTTTGTGGCACACTGACCTGAGCTGCAGCGGCCGTTGGCCATCTCGTGACTCCACCTGCCCTAGCAACCAGCCTCCTGTTGGCCCAAGCAACGATGGTCGTCTTCGCATGTCCACTTTTCGGCAGTTCTGGAGCAGACGAACTGACGTATGCTCTCGCCCGAGTAAACAAGCCCTCTCTAGCCTGTGTTACCGGGTGGTGGAGGGCTTGCTGCGTGTAGTATAGCACTCCCACCATGTTTTCAGGCCCCGATACCCCTGTCGATGCGCTTGTATGAGCTGAGTCTAGCACTGTAGCAACTTTGGCATTTGCAAGACCTCTCTAGCCTCACCCAACTCCACCCGCGAAACGTTAATCTTGACGTCGACCGCTAGCAGGGCATGGGGCCATGGAGTCAATTCAATCCCCCGACCCAATTGAAGGTGGCTGGCTGCTTTGGGCACCATGCAGCACGCTGGCTGCACGCCTCTCACCCCGACTTCACCTCACCTCACTTGCGTCTCACTTTCTGCTCTACTCTGCACTCACATGCATTGATTGCCTATTGAATGACTCTTGCTCAACAAATCGAGGGCGACCGGTGGCTGGGGGGCTCCACACGCTCTTCTGCAGGCTGCGTTCCCCGCGTGTGATTGGCCGCAGTGCAGTCTGACCACCCCTCTACCCACGGCAGATGTATGTACCCTCGCGCGCTGCAAAAAAGCCGACCAGGCTCATCCCCCCACCATGTCTTGGGCGTTATGCCCAAAACGGCTCCGCCCTATCTAGCCGCTAAGTGTTGATCCGACCGCACATGCTCTGCAGGATAGTAATAGCACCAGGATAATCATCCAGAATTTCGGCACACCAGAATAGACTCGTAGACTAGAGCCCGGCTTGGGGAGGAGGTCAGGAATCCTGCTTTGGGATCCGTTGGCCGCTTGGGCCCCAAAGTTGCGGTGTCGCACGCCCAGCTGAATATTACTTGCTGCATGTTTCTTGCATCTGTCGGTAACCAATCGCTCCTCCCGTGCCCTCATCCCTGGTCCCAAAGTCCCTACTCGCACTTTCCTGTGTCTCATTAATTCTCTCAGCTCGGGAGGGTGGGAGGCGGCCCTCGCTGTGTCGGGCGCGCCAGGTCTCGCGAAGTTCGCTTGGATGAATGGTGTCTTGCTCGAGGGGGGAGGCTTCAAGGTGTTTCAAAGTAAATCTGCGATTTATTGGAGTCGAGGACCTATTGGGGACTAGTTTTAGAAGCTACCTAGTTCTCATTCATTCCCTTATTCATTTCTCGAATCCGATGCCAAAGTCCGTTGCCCGAGCCTGTTGCCAAAGTCCACTGTTCAAATTCATTACCAAAGCCATACTCAATCCAGTGCCATAGTTAGTTACCAAAGTTCAGTGCTAAACCCCTCACTAGTCATTAATGAGTGTCCTATACTCCCAACTGAAGATGAAAACAAAGGAAAAATCGAAATGATGGTTGCGGCGAAATTCATCGCACGTTGTCGGCGTGTGGTCCACTTAGAACATGTATTGGAAATCCTCGTGTGAGTCGTAGGGAGGGCTGTCTGGGTGTCCAGCGGCTGAATCAATGTTAGTGACTTGACTGAACAAGGTTGATGACGGACATGGGTGATTCACTTACCGCGATCTCCTTCACAATCGGTGTGCCCGAGAAGATGATCCATGTGGAATGGGTTGCTAATATCATAACAACCATTCTGGGGAATGTTGTTGAAATCCATGATAGGCTCATTTCCAAGTCCCAAGTGGTAGTGAGTGTGGGCGTATCGGTAGGGAATTGGCTGAGGGATGGGAAGCGCCATTGGAAGATGAGTGATGGCGTTCAAATTCTGAGCTGTATAAACACGGTAACCATGCTCCCGCATGATGCGATCATCGTAGTGAGCAGAAAAGATCTCCTTGGTTGCCTGGATTGGATCATTTCGAATGGTGTTGATGAAATCAAGTTTCTCCATGGTAGGTGGAGTGGTAGGAGAAGCCTGGATGGGGCTGGTGGTCATCATTCCATTTGTGTTTGAACTCATCCGCTGGAGGAGCCCAGCGCTCTCCCTTGGAAGGTAGCCAGCCTTGAGAAGTGCCTGGAGCAGATCCATCTCAGTGGTAGGAATACCCTGAGCCTGAGACTGAGCGAAGTTGTTGGGGGAGGCAGCCCGAAATTGGACAATTCTCTGTGTACCGTCGGCTCTGACTTCCACAGACCAGCCAAGAGAGGAAAGGTAGAGGGCAGGCTCAATGATGTTCATGATAGGGCAGCACACGCCAAGGAAGAAAGGTAGGGAAATCCTGTCCTTGCCAATTTCGTCTCTGATGAATGAGTACACTTTGGCAATCAGAGCCCACTTGTTTCTAAAGGGGTCTTGGTTCCAAAGGGTGGTCAAGAAACCAGAAGCGGCCTTTTGCTGAACGTCAGGGAACAGCTTCAGGTAGTAGCCTAAAAATGTTAGAGAAATTGGCAATCTAGGCGAAGCTAACTACTTACTTCTGAAGGCGATGAAGGCATTGAGGGGTCGTTTGGCCCGCTGGTTCGAATCCTCATCAGTAGAGGCCTCACCAGGGCTGGATCTGTCGGCCGGCATGGTGGCACTTTGGAAGTACCGAGTAGCAAGGTTGGCGAGGGCCTCGTCTTCAAGGTGAGTCAACAAATCCTCGGAAGGGATCGAGGCAAGGCGCTGCGCGAGTTCAGCTCTTGTTGCCATGATGAGATGCGAGTCGAATGATGGCTGGCGATGGTTCAAAGTTTGGTTTGCGGTCTGTTTGAAAGGGAAAAAACTATCAAGAAGTGTGTAAGGAAGGTGGAAGATTGGTCAAATTTAAGAGTTTGGTTGGTGAGTGAAGGAAGGAAATCGGAGCGCTTGATTTGAAAGTGAGCGAGGCCTTGGCACCCACATGAGCAAGGAGGTTGGCGCTAAGAGTGTTTAGCTCCAGTTGTACCTATGTACCTACTAAGGACGTGAATGCCTGAGGCGACACCCATCTCAACGGCTCTTAGGGTACCTCAAAGTACACCCTGAAAAGCCCGAATTCCCTCTTGCTTTTCAATGGGCAAAAGTAGAAGTCCGAGTATCCTCATTCCAATTTCTAACACAGCTCGTAAGTTTTTATGGAGAACACACGCTAAATGGCCTGTATAGTAGTCGGCCAGCTGAGGAGACCGGGGATTTGGGGTGTGAGTAGCAACGGTGGGGACTGCGCCACTGAAAAGGTACTTACACTTGGAGTACCATTGTACACTTCTCGGTACCCGTCATGGGTCTCGTTGAGGTAAACTTTTGGGACTGTGTTGCAGTATGTCGGTTGCACATGGGGAAATCAATATGAAACCTGATCTTTGGAATTGAAGTGAAGAACTACCCAGGCTACTCTAGTCTTGGATACGAATCCGTACTGGAACCCAATGCCATTCTTAAGAGAATTCCCCACCTTCCAGACCACCAAACAACATCATGAATAACGTGCCATTGACCTCATCAGGTTCCTCCTCAAATCTCATGGCTCTGGCAGCACTGGTGAGTAGCGGAAGTGTGGCATGACCTTTAAAGTCTGATGCTGGTCGCTTGCACTGGAAAACGAGTTAGCATCGGCCTTTTCCCTGGGGATAGGTAGCCTTACAGTTGGGACGCTAAACTGGTACCTTGGGAAAACATCGTATGCCTCATCCGAAACCTAAACACATTAGATGAGTCTTCTCAAGGGCTGAGTCAAGAGAGAAGGATGGCTTTACCCCTTCATGTATCTCTTCATCAGGATACCACATTCCAGATTCGGATGCGAGATCATTAAACTGCTTGAGCCGATATTTTGTTCGGATGATAGTACGAGGACGATTGTCCTGATGATGAAGTCTGTTATTACCATAACCCTCATTGTAAAAGTAGAAAAAGGAACATTAAAGCCAACATACCCTGTCAAATCTGAAGCGAAGCCCACGATAGTAACGCTGAAATGGTAAAATAATCTCCATCGCGGAGCTCGGCATTCTATGAGTGATGCCAGTGACGTCTTCATCCGTAAACGAAAATATGGGTTGTTGCTTGTTTTTGAGAAATTTGTTCCAAGGCGAACCTGGGACTTGCTTGAAGGGATGCCAAAAGGGCGGCTCAAGCCATAGTTCTTCCTTTTTTTTCTTTTCCCTATCATCTTCCTCTTCGGAATGAAGATCAAAATTATTATCACCTTCTTCTTCCTGCTCTTCTTCCTTGTCTTCTTCATCCTCTTCCTGGTCGGCGCGAATCAAGATGCGTTTGCCATGATGCGACAATCTGATTTCCTCAGACAGGGCACCAAATAGCCCACCAGGGCCACGGTCAATGATATTCCCACCTTGGCGAGAGAGTTGCCAAGCACATTTGACAAATGTGTGAATGACGCGACGGAATGGGACTCTTCCAGTACGGAAGCTCCAGTCTAGGTTTCGTTGCACCATCCCAATAGAGTACGCTGCAAAAACCATGGACGCCACGGTATTCGCAGTGAGTGTGGCAGCGTGGAGTGAAGAATCAGCCGGGTCTCTCCAGTTCTTAGAGGTTAGAAGCATGGACAGGATTCCCAGATTGACGTAGAGAAGCTTTGCTGAAGAGCTATCAGCGTCCAAGTCTTCGGCAATTTGACCATTTCTGCCCAAGGCGATGGAATCCACGTCTGTTCCTAGGGCATCTCGGGCAAGAACCGGAGCTGCGCTGACGAACCACAGGTGAAGCATAGATTCGATGAAGCGGATGGGACTGCCGCAAAGGTGGTTACCCTGGGTTTGAAGGTACTGGAGCACGGAATTGTCCAGACTATCGCTGTCAAAGAGGGCATAAAGGGCGCGAAGAAACGTTGGGAAAGGGTCTAAGATTGGTCAGTAAATGTAAGAACAGCTTCTTATTATGAATACAATACCATAAGAAGAGGCATCCGGTGCTTGAGGAGGACAAAATTTGAGTGTCCACTCGAGTACTTGGACTCGAACTTTCTCAATTTCAATTTTGGGTCTCTCGATCATCGGTGGTGACGACCAAAGAGGCCCAAAATGGAGAGCGTTTTCCATAGCCGCGTGAGGTATCTCTGGCTAATTTGTCAATGATAGATATGAGATTCTCCTTGAGATAGATGGGGTTAGATCATGCAGGATGAGTCTAGCCGTTGGAGCTTTCGGTGGAACGAAGAAGATTATGCGTGGGGGGTGTGCAAAGATAGGTGCTGGTTAGAAAGTCAGAGATGAACTTCATGCGGGTGATATATCACCTAAGCAACCATGCAAGCAACAGGTGAGAAGCTGGTGAGGTAGGTAGAGTACCCATTAGTACCTTTGGGTTGGTTGGTTGGTTGGTTGTAGGTAGGTAGGTAGGTAGCTAGGTAGAGGTAGGCAGGCAAATAAATTCCCCAGACGAGCCGCTCCTCGGGGTCCCCATTTTCTTTCTCTCTCATCCACCTCCCAAACAACACCTTGCCCTACTGTTTTCACAACTTCGTTTTTATTTCCCCCCAAAAAATCTTGCCCACCGGTAAAACTCCAAAATGAATGCGCCATATCAACCAAATCTGCATCAGCCAGTTCCTCAATTTGGCACTCCTCAACCGGACTACGCCGTCACCTATGTGACCAATGAAGCCCAGGGCGACGTCCACGTTTTTGTTCCTGATGGGTATGACATAGATTTTGTCAGAGACATCGCTCAAAACTTCAGGTACGATACACCAGCAGGAAACCTTTGGATATATTCTGATGAATTGCATTAGCCGAAGAGTCCAGGAGCCGGTCATCGTCTACCATGACGAGATACGACGCAAGTTTCGACTTTGCCCGGCACCAGCTCCTCACCCCTTTGCTCACGACTATGGAGTTCACGTACTTTCTTGCGGTATGGTATCTAGATATTGGCAAATCTTTGCAGAGCTATGCTAAATCATTACAGACATGACAATCCCCCCTCCGCCTCCGCCAGGCCTTATGCCAGAGGCAGCCCCAGTCTTGGGTGAGCCTGTCGAGCAGCAGGAGCTCAACGAGCCTCGTATTCCCCGACCTCCCAATAGCTGGATCTTATACCGCCAGGCAAAATCGAGGGAGCTCAGCGGAGCAGATGGCAAGTACGCCGGAATGACAGCGTCTGAGCTTTGTAAGTCTAGATTCCTTCCATGTACATTGTCTTTTACTAACTCCTCCTAGCAACAGTCATTTCTACAATGTGGCATGACGCGCCATCTGAAGAACGCGAGTATTGGCAAGAAAGAGCAAGAGAAGAGGAGCGAATTCACAAGCAGATGTATCCCGGCTACAAGTATACAACAAAGAAGTCGGCAGCAAAGGCTCCAAAATAGCCAATTACCTAGGTATCTTGAAGAAACAGCCCTCTCGCGAGCGACACCACATCAGCCCGGATGTGGAATCAACTGCTTGGACGGTTGGGATTGTTAGATAAGTGCTTCGCTATTTTGACATTCAGCTCCGTGTCCCTACAAGCGGGCTTTCGCGTTTACTCATCTGAACCTCATCCTTCCCGTTTTTGCTCGCTGGGGGATGCTATGTTACCGGGACTGGCCTAGGTGACTTGATGCGATGAACAATTTTTCTTTTTGTCCACTGAATTTTGAAGGAACGAGGACAGATACTCTAATTTGAATTCCGGCTTAATTTGCGCGAGAAACTCAGATAGGATCGATTCTCAGTTAGTTATCTGGTAGTTAGTTTTACAATAAATTCATCAAGAGTATTATACTCACCAACTGACTGTCCACCTCACTTGAATATCCTGTGATGAATCCGTTCCCGCCTCACAAAGCTGGCTCTGGACCCGAGCCAAGCTCTCCCGCGCAAAGTGAGCTTGAGGTGAGCCCAAGCTCAGCTGGAGCTCACCTCTAGCTCACTTTGCCGGGGACTCGAGGGGGACGGGCGCCAGGCAGGAATGTGCGCGCTGGGGCTCGATCACCGACCCAACCCCGCACGCGGCCGCGATCGTCGACTAGATCCCCGACGGTGGGAAAAGAAGCACTGTGGAAGCCCAAGAGAAAAAGCAACTTTCTACTAACGCGATGGTGGTGGGAGGCAGGGGTTTCGGACGTGACGGCATGCCCCGAGGGAGAGAAGAGGCAAGACACTCATGTACGATTTGCTGGCTTCGTGTGACACACTTTAATGCAGACGGCCGATTTCGATTCAGACTTACTCTGACCGCATGAAAGTCTAGTCTGAGCTACCTGGCATTGAGACATTCTTCCTCCAGTCACTACTCCAGATGAACGTTCCACACCTCCACTCCGAGTCCTTCTCCTTCTCCCCACTTGGCCCAAGCGGACGCGGGCACATAAAGAACGATCTCCCTGTTGGTGATAGGTCAGCACGTGTGGTAGGTATACTTGATATAGGGGGGTGGGAGGAGAGATATGGGCAAGATGGAGGGGAGTGCGCGATGGCTGTAGAGCGAAGAAGGCAAGGGGGGGACAAGGACCAAGGTACCAGGGGAACAAGTCTCGAGGGAAAGATGCCGCCTTACCGCAATTAACGCCGGGCTTCTTGGTCACAAGGCTGATGCATGGCTCGTCGTGGTTGCACCGGGGCACGACCCGCTTGCCCAGCAGCTTTGACCACGACTCCTTTGCCTCGATTGGGTCGAATACTCTTTCGGGCGATGGCTTGTCCGAGTCGAGCTGAGATGGCTCGGGCGTTTTCTGAGTATCGTCCTTGGGTAAGGTCTCAAGTGATGGTGGTGAGACTACTGACTTGGCGCTGGGACTACGAGCCTCCTTTGTTATTGATGTTGGGGGTGGCTGGGCGGCCGTGATGGACTCAGCGCTGGACTGTTCCGCGCTCGTCATGGCCTTATCGCTGCTAGTCGCTTTGAAGAAGCCTGCCAACGTCATTTGACCAGAACCTGGCTTGCTCTTGGAAGTGGCGCTGCCCCCCGAGGCTAGCTTGGGGCGTTTGGATTTCGCCAGCACGTTGGGATCTCCCTCTTTCCGCTTTGGCATGGAAGTTTCCACGGCATCCTTCTTTCCCATGGCGTTTTGGGAAAGTTCTCCTTTCTGTTCGGCTTCTGTGTTGATGACGCCTGAGCCCTCTGAGCCAAGATTTGGCAAGTTTAGCGAGTCCAGCTGAGGATTGTGGTCGACGCCGCTGCTCTCACTTGACGAGCCTTGTTCGTTCAGCTCAGGGGGAGCCAAACCGGCGAGCTGAGACCGTTGCCGGGAAAACATGTCTCGAATACTTCGTCTGCGGTCGAACTCAGGGATCAACCTGGCGGAGAGTGGCAACACGTCACTCGCGGCCCAGATCCGCTGGCGTTTTCCCTTGACGAACATGCCTGGCGGGTTCACGATATCATGAACGAACTCACGCTCCCCATTGATTGTGCGGTCAAAAGACATCCTGAAATACACGGGGCAGTGGTCAGATCCCATAAGGCCCTCTTGGATGTCTGCATACTCGGCCCATTCTTTGACGCCATCGGTGCAGAGAACGTAGTCAATGCGGCTGCCGAAGTTGGCTGGCCGAGTGTTCTTCTTGGTGTCCCAGCATGTGTTCATGCCTTTTCTCTTCGGGTGGAATTTTCTGCAAAGATCCGTCAGGACGGGGCGCTCGCGGCCTTTATCACGCTTGCCCTTGACCTTTCCGCCATGGACGAGCTGATTGAACACTCGGCGAGTGGGCGCCTCGAGCCAATCTTCCATACTGATGCCTTCTCTCTGGAGCATCTCAGGGGTTCTGCTGGTATCGATGGCAGCCCCAACGATGTTCAGGTCACCCGTCACGACGACCTCCTTCCCGAGAGCAACGAGGTTGCGTACTCTTATATCAAGCGCCTCGACAAACTCGGTGCGGAAGTCATCTCGGGACTCATCTCGGGTGGCTGGGCAATACACTCCAATAAGGACGAAGGCGGGAAACTCGAGGATTACACATCGACCTTCAGAGTCGAGGGTCGCCTCGTCCACCCTGCCCGTGAGCTGGCCAGGAGTTGGGTAGCCACCGATGCGCTGCTCCTCTGGGAGGTCTCGGTAGCTTGTGGTCGATCTGGGGGCAGAGATGCAGCCAGTGATGCCCTCCTCGGCGCGGATGGGTGCACATGTGGCGTTGCGGGTGTAGATGGCTACGCCTGAGTAACCTATGTGATCATCATTAGCATGCTTCGGCAACGAATGGACGTCTGAATGCTACTCGCAGCTTGGGCATACCTTTCTTATCCTTGGGCAAACTGAAGTAGACATCCCAGCCGGAGATCAGAACCATCTCGTCGTTCAGGTCTTTCTTCTGAATCTTGGTCTCCTGCATGATGACAATGTCGGCCTCGAGGATGTTGAACATGTACTGTTGTGCAAGCCGTCAGCCCAACTGGCCTCCGAGTGTAAGTGCGCACTCGTGCAACTGACCTCGAATGTCCGTTTAGACCTCCATGGCTCGTAGGCAAACGGATTCCTGGTGAAAAACGATTCATAAGACTTAGATGCATTGATTGTCTTGATGGTGATTATACTGACCGTATTCCATTTACTACGTCATGACTGTTAGACTGGCATATCCCACGACACGGAGAGAGGAAGGGCCAATCACTCACCATTCCAAGTTGTGATTTGGAATCCCATGATGATCGATGTTTCTGCTTAGCCAAGATGGCGAGCGTCTTTACTTGGTCCAAGAGAGGACCAGAGCGTAGTTACGGAGTTCTGTTCGTTGTGTTGAGCTGAGACGTGCTCTAGGGTAGGGCAGCCGGCCGTAGAGAAGGCAGTATTAATCTTCCCCCAGCTCTGGGACAGAGGGATGAAGTATCCGTAGAGCGGACCTGTGACTGGAAAACAGGAGAAAGATCTTATCTCAAATGGCACGGAGGAAGAGTGTAAGCTGGAAGGACATGGACGTAGCACTCCCCCAACAATACCACAGTGGAGGTGATCGCTTCAGGTGCGATGTGTTTGGGGGAGGTTTATTTCGTGGGGCCTCAGTGCACTTTTGCAGGGCCTGGAAGGTGCTGGCGGGGACGTAAGAGGGCCTCTGCCAATCAGGTGTGCGCCGGGACTTGCTCTGAGCAGCGATATCAAGAGTGAGGCGGACCAAGTGCAGGCAGTCCAGCGGCTCGCAGGTGTGCTTCGTGACTGCCGTGCATGAGACGCGGTGCTTACTCGAGCAAGCGCTGGGTGGCACCTTGTAGCACGGGCGCCTGCTGAACGGAACGCTCTGGGGTTGCCACCCCCCTAGGCTTATTGTAACTTGATCGGGTGCGCTGGGATTGGTCGCCAGGCTTACCAAAGCAAGAGCTGCCAGTGGCTCGTCGCGGCAGGACCGCGGTGTCACGTGGCCTCGGTCGGTCGGCCCACTTGCCTGACATACCAGGCAGACACCAAATTTCCACAGTTTGTCCGAGGATGCAAGCTCCGGATTGTGACCTCACACCACTAATTACCATAACCTCTCTCGAACCTGCAACAACCTCAGACTCTCCCCTCATTGCGCTTCTCAATCATGTTCGGTGCCCGCCAGTTCGCCCGCAGCGCCCCGCGCTTTGCTGCCCAGCTCCGCGCCCCTGCCCAGCGCCGCCTCCTCACCACCGGCGAGAACGAGTTCATCAAGGAACGTCAGCACATCAAGGAGCACGCCAAGGGCACCACTGGTTCGTCGATGACCCGGGACCCGACCAATTGGGCCGGAATGAGCTAACAGATGGCAGAGCTGTGGAAGAAGATCTCCATCTAGTACGTATCCTGTCAATTGGACTCAATTGACGTCCCCGTCGACATCTTGAGTGAATTTGACCCCACCCATGCCATCGGGTCCGACCGGCTCGAAATCTGTCGATAATCCTCGAGTCACCCCGGTCATATCGTGTGCGAGTCGAGAGTCGGAGAGCAGCCACTGTGTCTTGGGATGTCGTGTTTCGTTCTTTCGGTCAGATGGAGGGCTAACATTGGGTTGAAAAGTGCTGTGATCCCCGCCCTCGGCCTCGCTAGCGCCAACGCCTGGTACCTCTGGAACGCCCATTGGGACCACTGGTCTCACCTCCCTCCTCTGGAGGAGCGCACTGAGTACCCCTACCAGAACATCCGCAGCAAGAACTACCAGTGGGGTGATGGTGACAAGGTGAGTCTTGATACTGGATCTTTGTGATATGCTGAGCTTGGCTGACCTTTTGACAACAGACCCTTTTGTGAGTTGATACCACCTGGTTAACTTCCATTTTCCGCGATCGAAGCCTGCCGAACGAATGCCGAATGAATATGGTGATAGACGAAGAGCGTGAGCTAACGTTAGAACAGCTGGAACGAGAGCGTCAACTACCACCGCAAGGACAAGGCCTAAGCTGCGCCCGGCACAGTTTGGAAGTTGGCTATCACTGACCAGGAGGACTTTTAGAGAGATACACCTGTACATGTCCCCGGACTGAATTCAATTCCCTTTGTTTCGTATTACTTTGATGCTCGTGCCATGAATTTGTGCCCGCTGTGATGTAATTTGAGGTCGCACTGGAGCCGTAACACCGTGTGGCATGTGACGTATGCATTAGACATGTGCATTAACTCTCAACTGCCCTCTTAGAGTTTGACGGGTCAGCTGTTGTTGGCTGTCAATTAACATTGGCACTTGGGTTGGCTAGCCACCAGCAACCCGTGTGTGGATGCGAGAGGTTGGAGCCGTTGCACGCTGCCGAGGAAACTCCGGCTGGGATGTTTTGATTGGAAACTCCTACCTGTGCGCGGTTGCCTCTGTAGAAAAGTGATGATTTCCAATTGTCTTTGTAATAATTAATGTTGCCTTTTTTACTCTTCGTTTGTGTAGTGACGGTACGTAACGAGAGCGCCTGATTTTGTTGTGCGGAGAAGAAACTGACGTGCGCTGCGCTGGTTTTCCAGTTTCATTCACCCCAGCATCTTGAAGTTACCACATCCCTGGCATCATGAGCGAGCTGGACCTCGAGCTGAGATTCACATTGCGGTAGCGCTCTTCTTACAACAGTAGACACTCTCTTTGATCTGAGTGGGATTCCTAGATCAACTCATCCGGGTCGTCTTTCCTTCACTTGACTGCCTGCATTCAACACACCTTCTCGCGCATACCGGGCGAGATTCCACGATTTGGCATACGTCTGAGACTTGTTCTTCCTTTCCTTTGTCGCTTATTTTGTCGCTTCGAACCTCTAGTTGCGTGACACGCCCTATCGCACACTCAGTAGAAAGATTTGTTGATTTGGCACATCCGCGCACAGGTAGAGTGCCATTCATCTCAGACCCTGGTCAAGACTGGTCGCTAACATACCAGGTCACAGTCGACCATGGCAAAGTACTTGACGCCGGCCAAGCTCGGGCTCTTGGTCCTTATCGAGCTCTACCTCGAGGGCGCGATCCCCAGCGATGCCGTCCTGCCCGTCTTATCCTTCATCACCTCCCATCTCATGGACCGGAGCAACACGACCCCGGGCACCAGCGCAGACCAGTCGTCACGATGGGAGCGGGCGGAAAAGACGGTGAGCCTCGTCATCAGCATCAAAGACTTTGAGAAGCTGCTGGGCAGCTATCCGTTCCTCATGGGCATGCCGGGCAAGAAGCTCTGGGATCAGTTCCTTGGACGGCTGTGGGCCCTCAACTCGCTCGATGCGCTGCACATCTTCCTCGATACCTTGCCTAGGATGCTTGCCATGACGAAGCGGGAGCTCCAGCGCCAGACTGAAACTGGGTCGCCAGATCCTGATGAAGGAAACAAGACCGTCAAGTTGTCGCGCAACTCGCTGTTCGGCTCAACTATTCGAAGAGCCAGGGTTGAGTACAGCCGGCTCAAGTGGCATGATACGACACAGCTCTGGCAAGATTTCGTCCGGTACCGACAGCCTACGGCGCACTACATGCGGCGAAAGGCGCCTTCGAGTTTCGGCCGGCTTAGTTTCGATTGCGTCTTGGAAGAAGGCGAGAATGAATCATGGGAGACCGGGCAGGCGATGACACTGGCATCCGTCGCGTATGGCGACATGCTCTCGGGCGACCACATGGGTTCGCTGCCGGTGAGCAGTGATGATATTGAAGTGCTGCTTGAATTCCAGGTTCAGCAGATGCAAAGTAAGTTGGTTCATTGGCTGGGCGCCTGCTTTGACGTTAGCTCTTGACCTGTGTATTCCCTTTTGACTGTTTGATTGCTTGACTGCTGATTGCTTGGCTGCTCGACTGCTGATTGCTCGACTGCTGATTGCTTGACTGCTGATTGCTTGACTGCTGATTGCTTGACTGCTGATTGCTTGACTGCTTGAACACTTCACTGCTTGAAGAAAGCTAACCACTGGCTTTTAGAATATGGGAGTCGTGTCCCATCAGAGATTCGACATCAATTCCATGACCTCCTGAACGACAGTTGTACCGTTCCTAGTCTCACACACTATGTCAAGTAGGTTGCGGGAACATCTAACATGTCGACATCGAGAGTTGGTTCTAACCTGGTTTTGTGTGTAGTTTCCTCGAGTCCTGGCGAGCAGGTGACTATCCCTCAGCTTTTGATCTTCTCCATCGGTACTTTGATTATACGGCGCAAACCCGAGACCGATTCTTCTATCAGTACGCCCTGATGAACCTGGCCGTCCTGCAGGCAGATTTCGGCTGCTACAAAGACGCCGTGACGGCGATGCTCGAGACCGTCTCGACGGCCAGAGAGAACAAAGACATGGCATGCCTCAACTTTGCGCTCAACTGGCTGTTCCACTTCGGGCGCTCACATCCCGACCTCGTGCGCAACCTCGAGTCCAAGAGCATGATTGGGACCGGGAAGGAGACGCTGGCCTTTCTTCGTGTCAAGGCGAAGGAGGCCGGGATGTGGAGTCTCTTCAGCTCGGTCCTGCTGAGCGAAGCCAAGCTGTCTATGATGAACGGGGAGAGCATCGCGACGGCAATAGAGTGCATGGTGCGCAGCTCTCACCTCATAGTAACGAGAAACATGCGGATCATGTTTGGGTCGCAGCTGTCGATGTACGGCTGCTTCTGGGACCGACTAGGCCTGACGTATCTGGCGACGACGGCGTGCGAAGTCTTTGTCCGCGGTCATGCGCCCTATGCGGTGTTCGAGGACGAGCTCAGGCTCACATGCCGGCTCGCGGTCGCACTGGCCAACAAAGGCGAGTACGACGAGGGGCTGAAGCTGATGAACTTGCTCGACGGCCACTCGCTGCGAGCGTGGAAGGCGATGCAGCACTGGCGTCGGTGCATGGGCATCATCAAGGGGCAGCGCTATCTGCACCGCAACGACCTCGAGGGCGCCGAGCACATCATGGACCAGCTGGTGCAGTCGTCGGACGAAGACATGGATCCAGATGTGGCGTATATGATTGAGATGATGCACGTCGACCTGCTGGTGCGCAAGGGCGAGCTCCAGGAAGCTTTTGAGCGGGTCGACGCCACCATGGTCCGGCTGCACAAGCTGGACTGCGACAAGGCGCTGCGGATCAGGCTCATGCTCTGCAAGGTGTCGCTGCTGGACAAGTGCGGGCGGCCGCAGCGCGCGTTCTCCATGGCCATGCAGGCGTCTTCCTACGCGCTGAAGGCTCGGCTGCTGCCGTTACTCTGGCAGTCGATGGGGGCAGTGGCCAACATGCTAGTGTCGCGAGGTGAGTTTGGGGCCGCGTCGAAGCTACTGAGGGTGGCCATCCCGCGGGCCATCGAGGGCGAGCAGTTTGAGATATCCGGGCAGCTGTACTCGATCCTGGGAGATGCCTACATGGGACTCGCAGGCCGTTCGAAGCCTGAGTCGAAGCAGAGGAAGGAGTACATGACGAGGGCCATGGGGGCCGTCTCGGAGTCGTTTGACCGCTACTCCAAGCTTGAAGATATCATGCGGCAACGAGAGATGACGGCCAAGAAGGCGGTGATTATGCAGCTCTCCGGGGACATGACCCTGGCGGCAGGATACGCTGCTGCATATGTGTCGTTGCAACAAAAGGGGGAAGACATCAAGGCTGCTGGGGAGGGTGTCAAGGCTGCAGATGAATAGGCATGCGCTTGCCAGTTACTTTTTGGTTGGAGGGAGGTGCATCTGTCTCTCGCAGATGGAGGGCAGGTGAGGTCGAGCAGAGCAGGAACGAGTACATGGTGCATAATGGTTTAGATTCACGGGACGGAAGGCATTCATGGCGCATGGCGGGGTCTGATGTATGCTAGTTATTGTCATGATGGACGTTTTACGGCATTGTTCAATTACAGATGAGTTATCTGAGTTCAGTTATGCTCCTCGTACAAATGCACAGCGGCGCATCTAACTGGGAGACGGCTACGGCAGTGAAAAAACATCAGAGTGAGGCTGCTTTCAGACACTCTTCAGTTGGAAACATTGCGATTGACTGCATTGAATTATTTGGTGGCAACTCTGTCGACTTCCTTGTCCTCTGCGACGAAGGGTTCCTCTGCGACGTAGCCAAGTAGGTCCAGAGATGGTTCCTCTGCGACGTAGGGTGCGTAGGTCCAGAGCAGAGGTCCAGAGGCCAGAGATGGTTGTCGGGCGGGTGGCGTTGCGCATGGGCCACATCCCTGCTCGCTGCAGCCAATCAGATGCGCGGGTTTGCTGGGAATTCACCGTCGTCGACACTTTCTTGCCGTCATCATCTTGCATCGAGCCTCTCGCGCCGCCATGTAAGTGCCCTCGACGACAATTCCGCTCGACTCGAATGCAATCCAGCCTCCTGAATGCGGGTCACACACAGCCTCGCTTCCCGGGGCTTCCTGGGCCGCAGCTTTGACGAGCTTGCGCGCCTCTCTAGCATCGGTATTGATCCAAATCATCTTTTCCTTGGCACGTCTGGTTTGTTGACATGTCCCTCCAGCCTTCAAGCTCGAAGCCGTCAAGGGGCCTGCTGGTCCTCGCCCCCTCTACAGCTTCCACGACAAAGAGTCTGTACAAAACTGCATCCCCATGTCCGACGACCTGATCGGCGGCTCCTCGATCACCAAGTTCGACTTCATCACCGCCCACGACTCACAACCCTCTTCCTCCACCCTCGACAAGATACCCCCTCCCTCCTCCTACGCCCGCTTCCACGGCCACATCTCCACCGCCCTCCCCGACGACAAGCCCGTCATCAAGCGGTCCGGCTACGCCGCCTTCCGAACCCCCGACCAGCCCCCCACCCTCCTGGGCCGCTCCGTCTGGGACATCGACCCCTACAGCTTCCTGGCCATGCGCATCAAGTCCGACGGCCGCTCCTACTTCATAAACGTCCAGACCGAGGGCGTCGAGCCCACCGACCTGCACCAGCACCGCCTGTTCGCCAAGTCCCCGGGACGGTGGGAGACCGTCTACGTCAACTGGAACGACTTTGTGCGCACCAGCTACGGCTTCGTCGTCGAGCCGCAGACGGAACTGCTGAGACAAAAGGTCAGGTCCATCGGCATCGGTCTCACCGATCGCGTCGAGGGGCCCTTTGATCTGTGCATCGAGAGGATATGGGCCACCAACGATGTCGAGGGCCAGGCAGCGGCCAAGAATAAAGAGTCTGAGGGTGAGCCTGCGGAACAGTCAGCGGCCGGAAACCTGAAGAACCGGAAAGGCGAGAGAATAAAGTGGTAGCACCGTGTATCAATAAGTAAAACGGAATATGAGCGTCGATTGCAATAACCAGCCAGGGTAGTCAATCGTACATATCAAACAAGACCAAGCTCCATCTGTGCGTGTGAAATGGCCTGGACAGCAGGTTGGCTTCTTGACGAGACCCTGTGGGTTATACCATCAGCTGGCTTCTATCGTTTGCCTGTGCCAGCAAGGTGAGAATTAGGGAGGTCGTTCCGGGATTCTGGATTGTGCGGTAGCCACCTTCGTGCCCAGGCGTAAACGAGGGTAAATCCGGTTGCTGGTTTTCAAGAGATAAGAAAGCCGGCCAAGCCTTGACCCCTCTCAGCTGTCTGGGATGAATGGCAGCTACCCCTTTTCTTTGAAATAGCAAACCCACCAGTTCCTGCTGTTGACTGGGACAAGGTGATGGACTGAGCTGTCTTGACGCTATGTCGGCCCGCCATTTGGCAAAGTTCGTGTCAAGATCGGTAACCGCCGAGACTTGCTCTACAGGTCGTCAATGTGCAAAGGGGTTCAAAGTAACGTTTTGTAGGAACAAGTCGCAAATGTAGATGGAGAAGCTTGAGGGGGATGATGAGATCAAGTCACGCGCTTGCTCTAGAAAAGTCTATGGGATGGGTAAAGAAGGAGGCGTTGAGAGTATGAGTCTGCTGAAGAAGGGTCCATGAGACCTCAGTGACGCTCAAGCTAGGTTGACAACTCCGAGGAGAGAAATAGAGTGGCAGGATGGCTTCCGTTGAAGCAAGGGTGATGCTTCTTCCAAGCTAGAAACTAATACCACTTTCAATCGCAATATCTCCGTTGCATAGTGTCACGATACCAATAGCTTGTGTAGTCTAGCTCATTAGCTTTCTCAGCTATATGGCGTTTCTCTACTCAATATCATCTCTAGTTAGCTCATCAAGACATATGGTACTGCCTCTTGACCGACGAGACCAAAGAAATCGACATTCTGGGCGAACATCGTACGGGGTCTGCTTCTCAGCATTTTCCCTGGCACTACTGCTGTTACTGAAGGACGCCGTCGAGCTTACCTTTCATTTACCGTCTAGGAAACGCCCCGAGAACTCTGGCCGCTCATCCTCGGTGGCTTGCCTATCACCGTCAGCACAGAAACACAAGGACAAGGCTCTCTCTTGCCAATCCATCAAGCAAGATGGAGCAACAGGTCCATCTCTGCTTGTTAGAGCTGAAATTCCAGAGATGGAACCCTTCCTGATAATTCTATGCGAGCAGTAGCTATCGAGCTTTCCCAGTATATTCGAGGTCGTTGACCAAAAGTTCGGCTAGTGGAAGTGATTTATACCGTCGATCGATGCTTCTTCGTCGTTCTTGGCAATGAATCAGATATGACAACAACCTGAACTCTTCTTCCCGCCAAGGTTTCTTTCTGTTTCGAAGAGAGAAAGCCACGCAGTTAGGCTGAATCGGTGTCACGAAGTGGAAATTCAAGACCAGTAGTGCGTCCTTTTTGTTCTGGTAAACATCCACCGCTCGAACACTCAGAATCTTGCGCCCTTCTTGAACCCGCCAGAGGAAGCTATACAGCGAGGCATGGAATTGGCGATGATAGACTGACGATGAGCTGGCGAGATTCTTTGATTGAAATATCATCTCGTCTTCAGGTGACAACTCGTTTGCTTTTCGCTATCCACGTAATCGGGTGACATAAGAGATGAGATACCAAATTCTTATGCCTTCTTTGTAGCCATCAAATGCTGCAATAAAGATACAATAACCCCTAAAAAAGTACACTAATCTTTTTATTAGCTTTCAAATAATATTAAAGTCCTTTTTTGGTCTTTTTTAAGGAACTTTAGAATCAAGTTGTGGTGAATACAACACAGAGCCTCTCCAAATATGGACACTTGAAGTACCGTTTGGTGTCTCATCTCTTATGTCACCCGCTCGCCACGGTCGCTGCCAGGGAGTCGCACAGTCACCACAGAAGAAGAGAGGCTCGGGGTTCAAGCGGGTCTCTTTGAAGATATGTCCTGGAGAAGGAGCTGGATAGACCTTGCTTGGTAGGCTTCTGTGCTTCAATCAGCTCGACTGAAGTAGCGAGGAGAAGATATCGGCTGGTCCAAGTACCCTCGCAATGAATGCTTGGTTCAACAAGCCGTTCAACCAGAGCCGGTTTCAATTGCATACGCGTGTCCGAGGGGGGAGAACCACCGCGCTCGTGTATCGAAGCTGGCATCAAGTTATACTGGGCAGTTGCATGTCGTTCGGGAGTAGGGAGAGAGGCTCTCTTGTGCCAATGGCTCGCAGCTGGTATGATCTCTGATCATGTAGGTTTCTTTCGGAGGTAATTTGTATAGAACGGTTGCGATCGTGTGCGGTCGAGGGATAGGAACATCGGTGTCGTTCAACCAACTCTGTTAACCTTGGTATCATGAATGCCACATTAGTCAACTGTCTCGGTCAGGTTGACCAGGAAAGATAGAAGACATAGAATCATCTCCTACCGAGCAACCCATCTCCAGTATAACCAGTATAACCCGTGTTCCTGTAGGCATTCTACTTAGCCAGCTTGTCAGAGTTGGCTGTGGTCATTTGCCAGTATTCCGGTCGCATGAAATTGAGCTGATATGTCTGTATTAGACTTCCCCTGGTCGTGTCGAACCAGGAAGCAAAAGGTGCGCGCTACAGGCGCGAACGGAAGATTCATCTTTGGGCCCTTTCTGAATCACATGTGCGGCTGGCTGAATCCGAGCCTGGATCACACAGCATGGGAGCTGTGTCTGACCAATGGGGATCCCTCTCAGCCCTGAGAAAGGCCAACAGGTACAAACAGCCTAAATATAGCATGGAACATTCACAAGATGCCTCTGACAATGCCATCCCAAGGAGCTGTCAAAAGCATCTATACTCAATTGACAAAAAATGCGGATAGGCTCCCAGCAATTGGCTGCTGGTCCTTGACAACGCCGAGCCCTTGACGTCCAGGCCATTACGTAGCTTGTGTCCCAGGGTCTTACATTCGAAGCTTGCCCTGCAGCTACCTAGCTAGATAGGCAATCACAGGCCCTTCTTAGGCTCTTGAGGCAGAAGGCCACCAAAGAACAACAGTGCCTCGCCTGCTTTCGATCCAGGAGATGGTCCTAGCTGGGAAAAAAACAAGAAACATCACCATAGCTGTAGAGCTGACAAAACAATCTCTGAGTGTCCTGCTTTCGTTGAAGATGTCTAATCAAATAATGAGGTTTGTCGGTGCTAGCAGGAATATTGTGACGGTGCTAGTAGGTATTGTGACGGTGCTAGTAGGAATATTGTGACGGTGCTAGTAGGTATTGTGACGGTGCTAGTAGGAATATTGTGACGGTGCTGGTAGGAATATTGTGACCCAGAACTGGAGCTGATTAGGCGCTGCACCTCTCGACGCTGCGTGCTCATAGGTAGACTCAAGTTTAGGCAAGCGACCAGGGTGGGCTGCTTGGATGTTGCCCGAAGGCAGAGAGGTCTCTCGTTGACCCCGCCTCAGTGTAGCTTTCAAGTTTGTGAGGCTCGACCCCCTCTTCAATCTCAATCAGGGCCCTGGCCCACAGAATTGGCCAATCAAGTGTGTGGAATCCGGCAAAACCATCATCTCACGACCCTCCCATTTCTGCTGTTGGCTGAATCGTCTTGCAGAGCGTGGCATGAGCTGCGCTACTCGGCCGATAGAGAGTTTTAATTTCGGGCTGCCGAGGTCAAGTGAAATCGGCATCGTCCAGATCCATCATGCCGTACGCCCCAGAACAGCCGTCCGAGGATGAGAGGGTGGCACTCGAGGACACTCTAGGCGATGGTTGGGTGCAAATGTACCACCACGGCTGTTCGTTCCCGCCCGAGACCTTCATCACCAAGATGACCGTCTTGATCGAGAATCCCAACCTCAACTCGTCGTGGCTGTTCCGGGCAGACATCATCCGTGACGAGCGACAGCCCGGCATCTCCGAGCAGCCTCAGGTAGACCAGCTACCAGACAGCCCATGGTCCCGTGTAAGACACTTCCCCAAGTACCAACTGCAGAGAAGGCTGGTCCGGACCCTGGTTCCTCGCAACACCAAACGAGACCTGCCCCTTGATCAGACCTGCACACAGCACCAGACCCTGCAGCAGCAGCCAGAGGACCCCGTCAGTACTTTGATCATTTATCTGCCCCATGTTGAGTCTGCCCAAGAGACTCCATTCTACCACCCCAAGGTCAAGGGAGTTGCTCATCTGCACGAATGGGACCCCGCGACTGGTGCAGGGTCCATCTCCGTCCTCTTTCTGCCCTTTCCCGGCCACCCACTGAGTGACAACAAGCTTCAGCGTACAGCCTTCCATCTTCTGCAGATCATCCACAAGCATGGTGAGAGCGCAGATTATGTAAAAAGAGTTCATCATGACTTGGTCGTGCCTCGTGCTATCTTCCAAGACCGCTATGCTGGGCTCAAAGGCAAATACGCCAGACGCTTGATTGAGTCTTGGTCAGAGCAGACTGACCCGACCAAACACATCTTTGAAGATCTGGGCATCGCCGCATTTCTCATTGAGTTGTGGTCTTCCATGTATACTTCAGACAACCCTTTCCCTGGCTTTGTTGACATTGGCTGCGGCAACGGCCTCCTTGTCCACATTCTTAACCTTGAGGGGTACCATGGTTGGGGCTTTGACGCCAGATCCCGCAAGTCCTGGGAGCAGTACAAAAGCCAAAGTGACTTGACAGCTTCCGGCACTTCGCTTGAGGAGCGCCTTCTCTTGCCTCATTTGGTTGCAGATAATGGTGCCGAGTTTCATGACCAACTTCCCGGATCAGTTGGCATTCACGATGGCAGATTCCCACCAGGGACTTTCATCGTCTCCAATCATGCTGACGAGCTGACGCCCTGGACTCCCCTCCTTGCCGTAGCGTCGAATTGCCCTTTCATCTCCATCCCGTGTTGCAGTCATAACCTCGGAGGTGATAAGTACCGCCCGCCGCCTCCCAAGGACAAGACCAAAGGCGCCTCGACATATGCTTCTCTTGTAGAGTGGGTGACAGAGATCGCCGTGGATTGTGGATGGGTGGTCGAGACTGAGTTTCTGAGGATTCCCAGCACACGTAACACTGCCTTGCTGGGCCGGAGTCGGACGACAGAGGCAGGGTCTATAGACGCTCGGGCAATCATTGCCAAGTATGGCGGTGGCCACAGGTACTTAGAGAACTTTATGCAGCTGCTGAAGAATAATGCAAGAGGCCATTAGACTGTGACCGACCGTAATCTTGCTATTTCCATTGGTGTTTCGCCAGGTATTTCGAGGTGACTTGATGTTCTCTTCGTAGAAAGTCTTCACGGCATTGAACGTGCTAGAGTGTCTTGATGCTCGAGGGGAAGACGACTTGTGTCGAGAACATTGTACGACAAGGTGTGTCTGCTAATCTGGTGATGTTTTGGAAAACTTGGCGAGTATCTGGAGGGGAGAGCACTTTCTTGACGAATGGGTCTGCGTCTTGAAAGGCGTGAGCGTGTTTATGAAGTAATCGATGAGTGAGGATGACTGAAGTCAGAGGTTATATTGCTGACCTAGGTCCAGCTTATCGAGACTCGTAGGGCGAGGAGAACGGGGGTAGACTTTTGAATCTGGGGACTGCCAGCACCCATCAGTATGATAGATTCCGGCGAGACTAGGGTATAGAATAGGGAGCTTACGTGATATTTGGGATTGCAGCTTATGTCTGAATGACGAGTTGCTTTCGGTGGAAAATATGAGATGAATGTTGAAGGCATCGGCTAGGGAGCTCGACTGGTATCTGCGGATGGTGCTGTCTGCTTTCTTCCGCTCGATCGAGTGTTCCAGGCGCGAACAGAACAAGAACGGGAAATGAAACATGAAGAGGTGATGGGACTAGGGAACAAGGAGATTTCGCGTTTGATGAAGGATTTGATGTAGAGAAACTTGGTCGGACTCTGCAGGCGATGGTCAGCTTCAACTGGAGGGAATATCCTGAGCGAAGGGTGTATGGATAGCTATTACCTCTGAAAAGGATGTAAGAAATACAAAGGGAGGGCATGCTGTTGATGGAAATGTTGTTGAAGAGCCTTTGAAGGCTGAAGACAAATCATCGAGAGCGGCCGGTTGAGTTGGCATGACGTGAATATGGAGACGCGTGCCTTGGAGATTACTTTGTGAATGAGAAATGGGGAGGCAACAAGTAAGGGAGAAGCAAGGAGGAGGGGAAGCTTGATTTTTTGCATCATCGAGAGAGATGCAAGAAGGTGGTGCTGAGGGAAGGAACGAGGGAAGGCACGAGGGAAGGAACGAGGGAAGGAGGCAGCTTCCTGCAGTTGGGATCTTCGCAACACAGCAAACAGACACTTCTTGGATGGAATTACGTGAGCGAGACAAGACAAAGACAAATAGTAAATGTTACGGATAATTTAAACCGTTGTTCTATTAAATCATCTTTGTTCAACTCTAGTTTGCAGACAACCTTTGTTCTCTTTGCCCACCATTCTAGATGCATGGAACGAGGGAAGGAAACAGCGGCCTCTCCTGGAGCCACTCCCCAGTCTCTCCGGGGAGGATGCCCCTATGAATAGTAAATCTCACTCAGGCAATGATTCCGGGACAAGAAAGCCTCCGAGCAGGAACCAGAGAGAAGTGGCTCCCATCGGAGCAACTTGTCTTCCGGCGCGAGCAGCTGCTGTCACAGGTACTCAGGGGCATAGCCCTCGAGGCAACACGCGTAGGCTGCCTTGGAGCCTTGAGAAACACCCACACGTAAACAAATTTCTCGACTTCTTCCCCCACATACTCATCCTTTTTTCTTCTTTCTTTTCATTCTCATACACAAACTTCACTCTTCCAAACTCACTCGAACATCACACTTCCTCTTCATCTACCAATTCTCTTTATCCAGTCACTCATCCCTCACAGTCCCTCGACAGTCGGTTTACTCCTGCTTGCCTCAACGCTCCTTCCCCGCCCACACGTGAGATCATGGAGATCACACGGATGGCTCTTGCCTTCTTCAACGGAAGTCACAGAGACAAACTAGGCTCCTTCTGGAGCAGCAGTGAATCGAGTGTCGCCGGGCACATGCGTGTCCCTGGCCCACTCCTTCCCCAACACTCAGTCACGCTGTTGCCTCATTCGGCAGGAACCTCTCTTTCGTCCCTTCCTCGCCGCTGGGATCGGCCACAGCTTGGCGTTAGAACCGAATAATGGGAGGTACTGCATGTACAAAGGCGTGTCAACGCATCCCTATGAGGATGCGCAGAATTACCGGCTACAGCTCACCCATTCATGCGAGCAGGTGCAAGGAATGGTTCCATGAGGCTTATGGGAGAAATAAATCATGAAAGGGTCCATTCTATAAGGGATGTTGGCTGGAGTTGCAGCAGCATCAAGTGCTCATCGAGTACTTGTCAGAGTGCGGTTATTGACTTGGGAGACATTGCTTCGCTGAGTCGGTGGCTCGGGGTACTAACGTCACCTTCTGCGCGGCACTGACAAGAGAGATGGGCGGGCACCTTTATTCACACAACTTGTTAATACCTAATGTAGTTGTATCTACTTGGTACCTATGAGCAACTAACAGATATTGGGCTTCAATGAATGGACGGGGCAGTTGACCACACCCAGCAAGACAACCAGCATCGACGTGGCCAGCAACCTGGCAACCGGCAAGACAAGACACACAGACAGACAGACAATACACAGCGCCGCGATTCACAGAACGTCGACCTGGCCCAGCGCCGAGTTCGTGCCTGAGGACCTGACCAGCAACCTGCCCTCCTGCACGACTGATGACGTCTGCCAGCCAGAGCAGCCAGCACGCGCACTTGTCTCGCCCTCGACTTAGTCCTCGCGCCCTGCTGTTATCTCATCCTGCCCTCAGCTTTCCTCCTCCTCCTTCGTTTCACCTCCATCACCAATTCCTCACCCTCATCTTGGGCTTCCCAAGCTGGTTGAGCATTGCAAACTTGCCAATTTCACACATCAGTAACGACAGGACTTCCCCAGTTCATTGCCTCTCTCTCATCAGGGGCTTCCTCACTCCGTTTCCTCCCAATTATCTTCTGCTTCTGACGCGCGACTTGCCGGCCTCTTTCTCCACGTCTCGCTTTGGTCGTCTAACAACGATGAAGCGGTACGCAGTCTCCAACCCTGCTCCTCAGAGCCGAGGAGACACCATTCGCAAATCGAACTCATTCGATCCACTTGGGCGTTCAGCAGGCATCGAGGCTGACGGCAGCGATTCTTTGCAAGGAGGTAAGATATGAGCGTTTGTTTTCTTTTTTTCTTTCTCTCACCACACGTTTCGCGCTTTTGGTTTCTCACCCTGCTGCCCACACTTCAACACGCCTCTCACCTCAGACTTGCCCACGCTTTCCTTCATCTTCCGTTCCCAATCTGAGAGTTGCCCATCTCGGGTTTCATCCCCATTCATCATCTCCCTGCTGCTTCCCACTGGCATCAGCACCCTACTTGGCTCTTTGGCTTCGCTGCTACTTGATAGCATCGGCAGGCTGGTGCTTCTATGGGATGCTTGTTTCAACAGCCCCTCCAAATTCTCTAGACACCCAGAACTTGGCTTCTGAATTGTTGTCAACAAACACACACAAGAGACGAGTCGAGCTGCCGTGACGAGACATCTTGCTGACTAGTCAAGGTACCGGGCTCAATGCGCTTGCCCATTCTGCTTCAATGTCTCCTCTCAAGAGGTAAGTTTGCTCTCTCGTCTCTTGCGGGACATTTCGCTCACACAATTGGCAACCAAGTAGCATCAGTGCATTGAGCCGTGCCAAGGCTACATTCAACAAGGGAAAGTCCAAGGATGAACGGTAAGTTTGACAAAGCTTTCGGGTGAATTTGTTCCCTCGTTCCGGTGCTAACTGTTATCGCGTGCTAGATTTGCTCAATTTGAGAATGAGGACGGCAACGTCTTTGATGGCGAGCATTATGATTCTTCAGACAATGTCTTCGACGACGGGCGCCTTCCCACCGAGAGCCGTCTCAGAGGTGGAGAGCATGTCGAGGAAGATTCGCGCCTCAAGACCATCGTCACATGGACCAATCGCAACGCGGCCAAGGAAGAGAGCAATGAGGTGGATGCTCAGGACATTTACCCGTCCACTGCTTGTATTTTTGTTGCCAAGTACGTTCCGTTTTTCACTCTCCCCCAAACTATCTGGGCATTGTACTGACCAGGTCCTGTCTCTCTTTACAGCCTGGCCTCCAACGTATCAGATGAAGAACTTGAGGAGGAAGTCATGGCCGTCTTTGAGAAGTTCGGCAAGGCATTCGTCAAACTCCGCCGCGATACCCGCAACATGCCGTATGCTTTCGTGCAATACACTGTAAGCCAACCGTCAGCCAATTACTCAACACGGAGGAGGGAGATGGAAACTAACCAGGGGTAGTCGGACAATGATGCTCAACGTGCTTTCGAGAAGGCACAAGGAATCAAGATCAGCGACCGTTGCTGCCGTGTCGAAAAGGCCAAGGCCAACTGTGAGTACAGTCTCGATAGCTCTCTGTGAACACTTCTGACATGATGAAAGCTGTCTTTGCAGTGTCCAAGAGATCCGGAGAGCCCATCTCCGAGGAGGAAGCTGCACGCTTGCTCCGCCCTCTCGGGCAACTTTCTGAGGTTACTCCTCTGGACTATGAGACTCAACGAAAGTTCAACTTGCCTCCATCAATCCGTATCCAGTTCACTTTGTTTGACTCTGGACGGGACCCTGTCAGGGTAAGTAACGACCTTATATTGCACTCTTGATCACTGATCTGACGAGTTTGTGATTTGTGTCAGGCCTTCAAGGACCACCGATTCTTTCGAGTCACGTCGCTTGAGTTGAACAAGGCGCCTGCTTCGGCCAACTCCGTGAACGCCAAGAGAGAATTGGTTAATAAACGATCGGTATTCATCGGGGATTTGCCTCCCAACTCGTCGGAAGAGGAAATCAGGGAGATGGCTATTGGCTGCGGCAAAGTCCTTGCTGTCAAGGTCCGAACTCGATCATATGTTGGAAGTACAGGTGAGCCACTCTATTTGCTTTGTGCTTCAAGAATATCGCTGACCTCTCTTTGGCACAGAGGAGATCTGCTTTGCTTTTGTCGAGTTCGAGTCTGTGGAATCTGTGCAGGACATGATTGCGGCATTTGTAGGTTCAGATTCACTTACCCAAGGCAGACCCGGTCGCTAATTCGAGTAGGATGGAATCGAACTCCGTGGTTACAAGCTGCGCCTGCAACAGCGCCAGTCTCGCACCGTCCTGTCTGCCGAGGACCCATTGACGCCCACGCCGGGGCGAGGCCGACCCAGAGCTGCCAATTCCACCCCATCTTCATCTCGGCACACTATGCCCGAGTCCTGGAGAGGCAAGCAAGCCAGACAGCCCACCGACGAGCCTCTCAAGACCCCATCTCGGGCTCCCACCCGTGTGTACCCTTCATCTGATCGGGCGCACACTGAAGGTCGCTGGGGACGCATCCCAGGTGATAGAGCCAACATCTCGATGGAGAGCTCCTCTGCCTCTGCCACACCCCAGACTACAATGGCAGAAAACATCAACGCCGCCCATCAGGGTGCCTTGATGAGGTACCTTGAGCAGACGTCTGAGCAAGCCAGTATGCTTGCTCAAATGAATCACCTCACCCCACCAAGTGCCCAGCGAGCACTTGTTGCCGGTGCAACCCCGGGAGCTGCCATGCCTTATGGGATGAACCCGTTCATGATGTCGCCTATCAGTCCTCTGGCTTCATTCCAGGCCCCTGCGTACATGAACGCGGGTGGTGTGCCTGTACCCGGGCACTTTTATGCATCCCCATTCGGAGGGTTTGACATGCCTGGCTACATGCCATATCCATGCATTCGACCTCAGGAGCCAGTCATGACGGCTCCCAGCGGTGACGAAACTCCCACTCGAGGCCATTACACTCGTAACCGGGGCGAGCCATACTCCAACGGCTCCCCTTCTCACACAAATCAGGGAGAGTATTGATCTCGGATTGCCAGAATGCCATGTGCCTCAGCCTAAATGGCCGGAAGCTCAAGCACCCAGCCTGATTTCTCTCCTCTGTCTGCGGAAACATTTGCATTTGCTTGGCTTTCTAGCCTCGAGATGCGCATATTTTCCCGCCTTGTTTCGCGCTTGGTGATTTTTGCTCCATGGAGCTCAAGGTTTACTGTTGCGATCTTCTTTGATCGGTTTTGTTTCTCTTCTCTTTCGGTCGCAGTCGAACCCCCTGTCGATACAGACAACGAGGCTGGACAAGGACCTTGAATGGTGTGATATCTCCCACTTCACTGCGGGAGAAACATGCTTTTGTTTTTGTGGTATTTGATTTTCAATCTTTTTTTTCTTGTTTTGCGATGTGGAGTTCAGGAAAAGGGGAAACAAATGTTTCAAAGGACTTCAATGGAAACGAAACGGACGGGGTGAACGGATAACGAGAAATGTGACAGAAAAAGGGAGAGAGAAGAGAAGAAAAAGGTAGCCTGTGACGAAATGTGCGCGGATTCTTTGTCTTGCTCATGAGTTCCTATCATGCGCATACGCAGGGAACATCTTCAGAGTAGTAGACCATGGTAGTCAGTGTTTTCATATTGTCTTCTTGATATGAGGAGACAATGGTGCGAATCAATCAGTCAGTCAGTCAGATGACCAGAGAGCAGAAGCATGAAGTTTTGCTCAGATTAGCATCCAACTTCGATGCGTGGTGAATATGAGAATGATTGAAGAACTCTGATCATGACTGACATCTTGAGAAAATACACTGTTTTCTCCCACACACAGAGACACCAACAAAGGCAAGAAGACAAAATCAGTAACAAAACAAAATTAAAACAGAGAGAGAACGAAGAAAACGATGAAAAAGAATCATGGCCATCAGCAATCAAGATCTGATCTGGGGCAATTAGAGTTCGCGGCCAACGAACACCCCACGGTGGCAAAAGGAATGGCGGCCCCCTACAGAGGCTCGCCAGCCTTCCCCTTTCCTTTCCCCTTCACCTCCTCCTCCTCCTCCTCCTCACTGTATTCAGCGTCCGACTCGTCCGTCGACTCGTCCTCGCTCAGCAGCGGCTCTCCGCGCGCAAGCTTCGCGGAGGCGCCCACCTGCCTCACCCACTTCGCGACGTTCTCCCTGATGATGGGGTCGCGGGGCTCGCCGGTGTTCTGGCTGCTCCGGCGCCGCACCAGCCTCAAGCCGATGACCGGCCGGACGGGGACGACGCTCTCGAAGAAGCCCGACTCGACCTGACACCTCGCCCAGGAGAACATGGTGCTGGTCAGGTTGTCCGAGGCTTCTATGTGGTTCAGCCCTCGGCTTGTCACGGCGGCACCCCTCTGTGACCACCAGTCTCCTCCGAAGTCGAGCTTGCCTGCCATGATATTGAGAGGCCGCAGGAGCTTGCCACAGAGGGAGAAGCCGACGTCTTCGAGCTCGTCGCCCCATGACCACGACACGTATTTCCAGCGATGGTTGCAAGTAACGTGGTCGCGGATCTCGAGCTCTACATCCTCTGCCCTCATGCGCCCAAAGGGTGGCCAGCTATGGGGGAGAGGCTGGTCCAAGTCGCGGCTTCTGTACTTGTGTGAGGATTCACGTCGCAGCCGCCACACGTCAGCTCGAGAGATAGTGTCCCTGAGGGTGATGCCGCGTGTGCAGTAGCCATCCAGAAAAGAGTGCGGGAGGCCAGTCCAGATCGCCGCCGTTGGGTCTGGCCCGGTGCAGGGAACATATCTGCCGCGGTCGAGATACATCTCGATTCTCCCAATGAGGCTGCTGGGACCCAGGAGAGCACTTCCGAGCCAGAGTGGCCCCGCCTTCGGGGAGGCCTGGTAGAGGATCCTGACAACGGTCTTGTGGTCATTGGCTTCGAGATAAGGGCGAAGAACATCTGCGATGGGCCCGAACCACGCACCAGCCGAGTTGCAAGGGACTCCTTCGGTCCAGAAGGCACTCCACATGGCACACCCTATTGTAGAGGGATCGAGGCTGAGCGTCATGTAGTAGTCAATCAGCTTGAGCTCCCTGAGAAAGCAAGGATTTCCCCGAGGGTCGAACCGTGGCACACCCAATGAGGGCTTTGGAAGATCCATTTCCGGCGCCCAATGGCTCATGATGGTGTACTGGAGCGGGATGCACAAGGCGGCAGCCAGAGATGCCGTGAGCTGGCCCCACAGACCGTATGCGAGAGACAGGCGGCCAATATAAGAGGCGGCCTGCATCGACGATGCTGGCATGTCGGTCATGCGGACTGCGACATCAGGCACGTCGACACCGATGTTCTCGATGGACATGGCCCAAGGGTGAACAACGTCCCCTTCAACCCTCCACCCTCGCCCGTTGGCGAGGATTGCTTTCCACCATCTTCTCTCCGCCATGGTGGCGTACCTGAGATCGAGCATTTGGATGCCATCTTGTCCGGCACCGTCTTGGGAGGTTGCCTCTTGCGGGGCATAGCAGATCGACCGGCCCTGGCGCTCGGCAAGATTCACGCCAAAAACATAGGCCCAGCCGATTATCAGCAGGGCGATGCCGTTATGAGTGTCTCGGTCCCAGTTCTGGAAGGTTTCTAGGCTGGAGATCCGGCAGACGACCGGATGGGTCCCTCTAAGGGATATCTTCCGGGGCATTACACGGGTCTTGGCGTCACACTTGGTTCCCGTGTTTGACCAGTGGGCGGACCCGGCGACGAAGCGGGCATTTTTGGGAATATAATCCGGCAAAGCAGGAATTCTGCACAGGAGGGCTCTGAGATCGAGGGGTGAGACATCGAAGCGGGAGGAGGCACGACCGCGTTCCGCCAGTTTTCTCCAGTACTTTTGGCTTCGTGACATGACCGTTTGGGAGGTGGGACCGTCGAAAACCGGCTCAAAGCGATCCGGCCTGATCGGCCCCGGTGGCCATCCCATAAGCGGTGCATTCTGGGGTACTTCAGGGGACTCTCCGTCGGTTGGAGGGGTGTCTGTTGGTTCCGACATATTGAAGGAAGCTCGAAGGGTTGGTTCTTATAATCAGGTGGGCGTACGTGGGCGTTCTGACCCAGGACTTACACCGTCCCGGACTCGGCTTGGTTACACTGGAAGACAAGGTGAAGGAGCAGCCTCCCTCATGTCTTTCGAAAGCGTCTCGGGCCTCAGGTTTCACCCCACGCAATTCGCACAGAGTGGCGGGATGGGATTGACTGGTGTGACTCGGGAGATGAACAGGACAAGAAACTGGCTATGAGGCAGGCGTCGACGGAAGAGACATGTCAGTCAGGCCGGTGCGGCAGTCTGTCGGTGTGGCAGTTGGGTGGTATTGGCTGAGGGGAGGAACAATAATCCGGCTCGACACGTCCAATTGAGAGGCTTATACCAACGGCTATCGCATCCCATGTCTCAGCTCTTCTTGGTGGTGTGCGCCACTGCGGTCAGCCCAAATGCTCAGGCCGGGTCTTGGGTGCCAATTCGAGCTGGGGGGGGTTGGAGCCGAGGGAAGCGAGCGCACCTCGGAGATCAGCTCTCAGATTCCTCCTGCTTTGGGCTAATGCTGGGAAGCGGGCTTTTCGCTGGCCAGCAGCTGGAACTAAATACGAAGGACTGCTTCTGTCTGGCGAGTGGCCTCAACAGCGATCCGCAGTCTCTGGTGTGGCGGGAGGAGCCGTGAGGCAATCGGACGAGCAAGATCTCTGCCGCGAGAGGGGCCCTTGTGGTCTGGTGTGGCAGTTCGGCGACGTCGACATCTTCGGATCGTTAGCATGGAGGCATATATTAATTGACATGATTTCCAATGGCCAACGCGTGTGACAAATTGCTTCACAGCAGTAGCTGATCTCGTTTAGCAAGGCGCCGAGGTCACGACGGGCGATGACACCCCGGATCGCTCGACAGCGTGGAACGAGGCACGGGCTCCTTGAGAAGGTATTCCGGCCAACCAGGTACTGAAAAAGAAAGTAAGTAAGAAGTTTTTGCGGCTGGTAATGATGGGGTCTCACCTGTGTCGATGATCTTGTTCGAGTCCAGTGTTGGGCCCATGTGAATTCGAATGACAGCTCGAAATGCGATGGCATCTAGATAGTATCAAGCTCGCGATGTCTGGGGAGGGGAAGAAGATGTTATGATATCAGGAGGAATTCAAAGGAGTGTAATTGGGCTACACAACGTCATTGCTATTGTTGTTGGGAGAAGAGAGAACTCGACGTAGATTGTGACACCGCGTGGGATATTCTGTCCTATTGCTGGTCTGAACCTTCCCCATGCTCCGTGCCTGATTGATTCGCAAGCGAGGCAAGTGGAACAGGATCGCCTACCCTTGATCGAGCAAGAACCAAGGCTGTGTATTTCAACATGGCGGAAGGCGTGATCCGGCAGACTGGTACAGAGCACTGCGATCACGAAGGTTACTCCTGCTCGTTGGCACACCCGAGTAACCACACCGAGACCTCCCCTCAATTGAATATTTATCACTATCCAAGTACAGACACATACAAAGCTACGGATTGATCCAGGAACCTGGTGAATGCGTTGCACGCCCAGCAACCATGACACCGAGCCAGTGCGAGGACGGGATGAGCTCCGCGGCCTTACCGACTCGTATTCTGCAGACAGATCAATGCTTGAGCGACCGAAGGTTCACGATTACGACCCCGAGAACATCGAACCGCCAATGGGGATGACCGAGATGGGCCTGGAGTCAGAGGCATGTTGAATCACAAGAAGTGCAGTGTCTACTCTGGCGACCTCCTTGGGTCGTTGTGGGTTGGGCACGCTTGGTGACGAGCCAGCGTCACACCTTCTCGGGTCTCTCTCGAGTCATTAGATTTTTGGCTAGACGTCACAGGGTCGGAGCATCAACTGGAACTGGGTTTAAGGAAAACTAAATTGATTCACGTGCATTCTGGTGTGCATCCTGGCTCAGCTATTCTCTGGCCCATTACATGAGAAAACCCGTCCTGTGGTCTCATCATTTTCCTTCTCCGCTATCATGTCGCTTAGCCGCGTTGCCCTCACTGGACTCCGATCGCTTCCGCTTGTTGGGATTGCCGGAAGCCTCTGGAGTCTGAGAACAGTCCTCCTTGATCTCAATCGCGCTGTCTTGGGTGCTCCCATCCTGGCGCATCACCGTGCGCTGCCGGGTGACTCTGGGATCCTCCATCCTCATGGCAGTCTCACCATCGCCCGTGAAGAAGGGCATGGTGTCGCTGCGGAACATGAGCATTGCGAATCGTGCAAAGAGATACTCCTTGGACATATCAACGATGCAGCCGGCGGAGCGATTGTGGTAGAGAGTGACTAGCTCATCGCCCTCGCCCGGAGAAAGGCAGCGGAGCACGAGGGGACCAACCTCGTCGGGTCGCTTCTTTCTGGGCACGACTGTGAACTGGAAGTGCTGGAAGTGCTTGAGCTTCTCAGGGCGGAGGCAAATCAGATTGCCCAGATCGTCCATTGGCAGCTCATGTTTTGGACTGCGGCGGTAACTTGGCAGGGAGACAAATGTTAGCAGGGGGAGCAAGTTTCCTGGTCGGGCCAGGGGCAACGTACATTTGCATGTTGTTCATGAAAAACCAGTTCTCGTACTTCTCGGGGATCAAGCGGGCCACCTCGAGCCTATTCCGGTCGGTCACTTGTTCGCCGCCCAAGTCTCGCTCGATGGCGCCAACCGCCCCGCCAAGCCTGTCGAAATTTGGCGGCAGACCCGAGATGGAGATCTCGGCCCAGGGCTTAGGGAGGTTCTTGTGGGGAAAGCGCCAGTTGTCAAACGATGGCACGACTGGATATTGATCTACATTCATTCACCGTCAGCACGAGAGCTCTCCAACAGGATGAAAGCGCGAGGTTGAACAAGACACCAGACTTACAATCAAGCGATGCTCGGTCACTGACGAAGTAGTAATACTCTTCGTGGGTCCGTAGTACCTCGCCCTTGGTCGCCATCAACTTTACATAGAGGTTTCTCTTGGGTATCTTGAGGCCAATGTAGCCGTTGGGCCAGGTGTTGCCGGTGACGATGCCACAGGCGATGAGGGCGGTATCATGGTCATACGCAGGGACGGCCTTTACACCCTCCCAGGTGCGGTCGACGGCCCTGAACTGCAGTAGCGGCGGCGCGGTGGTGGGATATGCTGGATGGCGGATGACGATGTAGGGGCGCTCACTGCTGGCAGGGCGCGGGGCCTCGTCAGGCCGGACCTCAACATGTCTCCGCTGGGGATCCATTGTAGCTAGTGGACGTTGGGAATAGTTGGTGGGTTGACGATGCTTCTGGTGAAAACGCGAATGGCAGGGCCGGGGGCAGCCAGCGCTGTCTTGGTCATTAGGGCCGCGAGTCTTGAAGGTGTTGAGAATGATGTGTCAAGAGAGGGCAGCAGGCTCGTCAGAAAAGGACGGCACGAACTGGTCCAGAATGCAACAATGAATTCCAGTGCATCTGCCGTACATAGTTGCTTAGCGGGGCGGGCGGCTGGGATCAGCTCTCAGCACCAGACATTGATTAATGGCACATTGCTCACCGGCTGGGCCAGGACCAGCCAGGACCAGCCGCGACCCACCGCCATGCGGGAGGCGGCAGGGCTGGCGCTCATCAGGGAGCTACCTTAGCACCCGACGTGGTACTTGCGGTAGGTAGCACCAGAGACTGACTGGCTGTCTGAGGGAGGGAGTGAGCGGAGGACGACTGTCTCGGCGGGCAAGGGAGGGAGTGAGGTCTCCACGGGACATGGAAGGGAAGGGATGGGGACAAGGAGAGAGCCGGGGAGGCCAGGGGGGCCTGTCTCCTCTAGGCTCAGCGCGGGTTGGTGACACTGGCACCCGGCGCCAGCAAATAAAGCTACACTTTGGCTCAGCCGGGAGCGGGCACAGATCGTCGAAACTTGGACGGACCGAGACCAGTTCCAGGAAGAGTGACGTGCAGACAGGCCGGGCAGCTCGACCGTCGCACCACGCAATGTCTGCGCGCGCAGTGTTGGTGGATAAAATTCCCCGACCAGAGCAGAGAGCACACACACACATCCGCCCATCCATCCACCAGTGCAGGCAGTCCAGTCACGCCCAGCCCGGCCCAGCAAATGACCGGCCGTGAGCACTCGCCTGCCACCACCCAGCGTGTCCTCCAGGTAACCTCGCACGTCACCTTGGGTGTGCTCGCTGCAACAGCTGCAATGGACGTCTGCTACACTCTCCTCCAGCTGCAATGGAACGGTTTGATTTCGAGCGAATGTACACCTCAGCGGGCGGCCAGCACCGTCTCTCCCATTCCATCACAGCACAGCACCGGTTCAATGCATCATGGATGCAACACCAACACCTCCTCTCACGCCCCCCCCCCCCCCCCCCCCCCCCCCCCCCCCCCCCCCCCCCCCCCCCCCCCCCCCCCCCCCCCCCCCCCCCCCCCC